ATAGAGAGAGAGAGAGAGAGAGAGAGAGAGAGAGAGAGAGAGAGAGATTGTATGAAATAGACTGTAGCTGTTCAAAAATCTTATTATCGGATTTCTACGTGTAAGTACGTGACCAATAAAATTGTCTTAACGTACATTCCCGTCCACGTTTAATTTATACTCGATGCCTTAGTCTTTGAATTGTATGGTTCGGCAGTATTCCGCTTTCTTCAACATTAACGAGTCTTGGTTGGGGTCGTTCGTGTTTATAATCTCGTTGCAAACGTGATTTGACTACGACGTCGTTTACAAGTGAAACTTATAATCAAATGTAACTGGCGAAGAATTTTTATCATCTCTTCTCGCCGTTACGATATCGTTAACGTTCGATTAGCGAGTTCATGTTCACGACCGATAATTTCGACGTTCAAATTTAACTCGAAATGAGCGAGATAAAATGTAAAGCAGTAAGTGAACGCGCAATATCCAATCGTCAGAATCTCTTTGAAGTACTCATTAGGACCGATAATATCGAGCCGGCGGTATCGAGCACCAATGCCAGTTGGAGACGTTGAAGGGCGTCGGCGGGCGGCACACCTTATAGCCCATTTGTAAAATGAGAGTGGAGAGCCATCGATCCTCGCCCTGGTCGTACTGAATGAATTGGCGGGCCTCGGTCGCCACAGTCGCGTATTTCTTCATGACGTTGTAGTCCATGAGGGCCTTGGCTCGAAAAAGGGCGAAGCATCCGGGCGCACAGAGGACGGATCCCGTCGTGTGTTCCGTCGACTTCTGAAGCCAATGGCCGATCGCGTATTCGAATTTTTGGAACCAAACTAGCGGCCCTGCAAGAATAGTTAAGTCTCGTGTTACTTGGATTATCTGGACTTACGTCACTCGAGAGTGTCGACGACATAATAACGACTTTATGTGTAACCTTGAATTTTAAAACAAGTGGAATGTCCATTTAGTGGCTGAGGTAGGGTAAGGAGGAACGTAAGGGAAATGACTTAGTAAGTGTATCGCCATGTAATTTTTCCATTTTCGATTACAGTCGACTTACTCTATTCAGCGTTTCGCATTGGAAAGAAAAATGAGTGAGAAGATAAACGTAACTAAATATACAACGTATATTGGAATTTTATGGTCATTTCATTGATTTTGTTGCATGTTTCTTCGAGCGAGTGAAGAAATTGCAAAAGATTGCGTTGCAAGACATTCATTGTTCGGACAGTGCCCTAGACATAATGTGAAACGTATAAACACTATCCGAGCCTACACTTAAAGGGATATATAGTTTGGTAAGGACTAAATATTGCAACATTTTTCCAAAATAATTACAAAAATAAAATGAAAGCTAAGAGTCATGTATAATGTGTGTCCTTCGATCAAATTACAACTGCCCAAATATTAAAATCACCTTTTCCCAATGGATGGATTCTGACACATGCCGATCCCACGTCCTTATTGATTTTCATTCTGTCGACGAGAGTCCTGACGGCGCTTGGCCTGAAGTCAATATCACCATCGAGCGTCAGAATATACGTATTTTCGGCAATGACTTCTTTTCGCTCCACTTCGATTGGCAGCTCCATTAATCGGTAACCCAATAAATAATACATGTACATCACCTGAATGAAAGAAAGCTTTCCAAAATTCGTATTCAACGTACTGCACTATTTTTCAATTTTCAGTTTAAAATAAAACGATTGCCAAAATTTTTGGCAAACAGCAAATTTACACTTTTTTATAATATCAGTATATATAATATGTTACGATGAAGTTTGGCCGAATTCTCATTGTATTATCATTCCTAATTATATTGCATAAATTTTTATTAAACAACATCTCTATTAGGCATCTATTAGGCTATGATAAATAAATCTTATTTTATAACATATTTTACAAATTATTTCTCGGATATTTATAGACATTTTCCTTTATAACGTCGAATTTAAGGCAAATGCGAGGCAAATTTTAATATGCAAAAATGATCGAATCAATTTCATTACATTGCAATGAATTAAACAAAATTTTCATTTATACCCATTCGATTAACTATAATTTGTTACATGAGAACAGCTATATATATATACGCGTCTGTACAACGTTCATTCGTTAGACAAGCAATTTGACAAAGTTATTCCCTACCTGACTCCATCGTTTTTTCGTTCGAATCCTATTCTTATCCTTAAGGTGCAAGTACATCTTAGTTTTCTCAGGTAAGATCCAAAGTAGTCTTCCACCGTAAGGTGTGGGATATTTTAGCGGTGGGGAGCTTCGCAAATTTCGCGCTCTAATACATTTTTCTACCGTCTTGATGAAGTTCACCACATACTCGTTCACGCGAGTTTTATTTTCGTCGTGGAAGCATCGGCCGCTACATTCATGAATACACTTCAATGCGTCATCGAAGAATATATGAACTTTGCAAAATTATTAAAGGCCATTATTTAAACAATAATTTTCAGATTTATATATATATATATATATATATGTATCATCTGTATTTACCTTCTAATTCATAATAGTCGGGCGACGTTATTTGATAATTATTTTGAATTATTCGCATAATGCATTGGTCGCGATCCAATCGAAGAATACTATTAAGAAAATCTGTCATCTCTTCTGGTGTCTCATGCCACATGGTCGCGCAAGCGTAAATTCGTGTAATATGGTCCCGGTTCTTTACCGAAGACAATGAATTCTTCGTAACTATTATTGGTACTTCGCAGTTGTCGAACTTCGAATAAACAGATTTTTAAAGAAAAGTGCTTTATCGGTACAAGTAGATTTAGTGTTTTTTCTCTTATTTTTTTTTTTTTTTTTTTTTATTAAATTCATTTTTAAATAATGTTTATATCAATCTTTATTATCTGTTGTTTTGTATTTAAAAATAATTTCTCACTACGATTATTACGAACAAACATTGATAAAAGTTTTAAGTAACGAAGCTTAAATTATTAAATTGTCGTTATATTTTTTGATATCTTTAATTGGCAAATGAAATATTCTAGATAGATATTAAGATATATTATATATATATATATATATATATATATATATATATATGTATTATTATTATTGTATAAAATATTAGAAATAAACATTTTATATGTTAAGACTACTATTACTTAAGGATACGTTGCTAAGTAAAGATCATTAAAAGATACGATGATTGTATAAGTCGAGAATATCATGCAAATTACGAAAATCACGGTTAATTAATTTCAATTCAATATTTTGTAATAGACATTGTATCTATTGATGATAAAGTAAGCATCGAGTACTATTACGGTGGTAAATCATTCTAGCGATACTCAAACGCGAGCGAACCTTATCGGAGCGATCATTCTCCTCTCCCTCCTCCTCCTCTCCCTCCTCCTCCACCTCCTCCTCCTCCTCCTCCTCCTCCTCCTCTTGCTCCTCTTCAAAGTTTTCCCTCCTCCTACTCATCGCTAAGGACAAGTCGACGAGGAGAGAGTCATAGGACGAGACCGCGAATATTCTATCTGCGGTGGCGAGTCTCTCGTTCCTTGTGCACCAGATGTGTCTCGTGGTCCATAGCTGGGAGAACAGTGAGATAAGCCATAGAAAGAGCTGCCAGCGCCAGGTTAAGTAATCTTCCGGACGGGGTGTCGTGAAGAAAAGGTAGTCAAGGGCTGCGAAGGGTCCGAGTCCGTGGAAGAAGCAATGGTTCTGGTTGCGTACGACGCTCAGCAGCGAAAAGCCCGTGAGGCTGACAGGTAGTGCGAGGCTCAGAGGCAAAGCAAACCCGAAGCCCTGCATGAGGGTTTTGCAGGCGAACTTACCTACGAGGTAATTTGCTATAATGCGTGCAAGTTCTTTGTATGCGTATGCTTGTAAGCGCAGAGTTTAATGGTTAAATTTTCTTTGATTCGGACGATGCTCATTATGTGAAAAGCGTAAAAATCTCTGATTTATTAATAATTTTACTTGTAAAGGAGCATAATATCGACTGCGTGCGGATCGTAAAGTTTGTGTGACTTAAAAGTTAGTTTTTACAGTTATAGTGTCGATATTATATTTGAGTGATATTGATATTGTTTAATTTCTATACAAATATACGTAGATGAAAAGTATTAAATAATGAAATATACAATAAGGAAAAAGGGGAGAAAGAGAGAAAGAGAGAAAGAGAAGTGGAAGAGGAAAAAATTAGATACGTTTGTTTTATTATCTATGGAAATTTTGATTATCATCGCTATAAACGAGACGATTTTTACTATTCGGTATTTTACGTGGAATGCAATATTTTTATTGTCCATATAAAATTTCATAGCTCACGATTCGTTAAAAGAATATTTTTAAAAGGAACGAGTCTGTATTGTAAATTAATGCGTACGAGTGAATGCGCGCGCTCGTGTTTGTCTGTTTTATTTATTTATTTTTTTTTTTTTTTTTATCCATTGGCTTATTGTTAATGTGCGCTTATTAACTAGTCTATTCTATTAATTATTGTACAAATATTAAATGAAATATTCTTACCACAATTATAGACGCAGAGACTTGATAGAGCATGAATTAAGAAAATATTAAAGGGTATCCACCGATTTCCAGATGCATAAATTATCTTATCATCAGGCAAACTTATTTCAAATTTTCCAATTAACGAATGATTGATAAATTTTACCGAATAATTGTACTCCTTCATCCAAAGTCCTTCGAAGAACATGCTCGTCTCTATACCTTTCCATAAAGTAATTAGATATGAAGTGAATACAAATATTACGATTCGAAGTAACGACGTGTAGCCAATCAATATCGATCTATGTGCTTGCAATTTTCTCTTAGATTTTGCGAGATATTTTATAAAACCTATAAACATCATAACATAATAAAATAAAAAAAAAATTAAAAACGTGCAACATAGTACATCATAAAATATTTACAAATTTAATAGATTTATAGAACAATTGGGATATTTTTAAATAAAATTAAAAAAATTCTTTAAGTAACTTAAGATAAAGGAAAATTTTACTATTATATTCACTCTGCGCTTTAGCAAATTTCACAGTACGTCTGACAATTCAATAGTTCTTCATACTCTATAAAAAAAAAACTTAAAAAAGAAATTTTAAATTAAAAAAAAAAATGTGAATTAATATTCAGTTTATGAGAAATTGCCGATTTAAAATGAAACGAAGACGTATTGATAATGAGCGATAAAAGAATTGTTCATTTATGAAATTAAATTATCAAAATATAAATGTAGAAAAGGTGAAGTGATAAATTTAAAAATTTGAATGAAAAATTGATTATAATTATTAGGTTTATTTGGATAATTTAGAGCGTGCATAAAAAATTTTATATTACAATACAAATAAATATTAATACGCTAAAATATAATACATCATTTTAATTGTTACAACATTCTTTATAGCGTTATAATTTCAAAACGTTTACATCATCCCAATTGTTAAAAAAAAAAAAAAAAAAAAAAAAAAAAAAAAAAAATTAAATGAACTTTTTAGGTAAAATTATAAAGCATTTTATCAAAAAATGTCTTTAACGTATGTACGCATGCGCTCACGCGTATATATAATGATGATATGTGCCTCGTTACCGAACGTGCTATATAGTATTCGCGCGTGCACACGCACACACGTATCGGATTTTCAAATATAACTGACTGTTTTCATTCTTTTCATGTAGAGAATAAAATGAGAACACTTAGCGAGAACGCGATGAGCGGGAAAAGCGTCGTATTGTCAGTTATTCAAGGGGAAAATAGTTTAAAGAGAGCATTTGTGTATTTGAACGGTGCTCTTAATACATTTAGTAAGCCTCGATCCGAGCGAATGACGAATCGATGGATACACACGTAGTGGCTGCGAAGTGTTGTTGAATCTTGTAGCGAATGCCTCTTTGTAAAAGACGAGGGGAACTTTTCCTCTTGAGGGAATTAGTCATTATCTATTTTTCCGTCGGTTGGGTTTTGACGGCCTCGTACCGTTATAATAATTCACAAGAGCACGGCTACGTGTTATTAGCTTGATCCCTCGTAAAACTTTCTGGGAAGTATCGTGTTGACCTCGTCGGATCGGAGTATCGCCGTAATCGCGGCAGTAAGGCCGACCGGATTTACGCTCAACGAGGATTCGGCTAAGGTGTTTTTCCGAAAAATTGGTTTACGGCCGCTATTTATTGTATTGCGCTCTCGCTACGAATATTTCCCACTACTCTCCATTTCATTCGTTTGCCACTATATTTTTGGCATTATTTAACTATCTTTGTTATTCACATAGGTTTCGTGCGCTTCGAAGTCCAAATGTTGGAACGACTACTTTCTCCTCATTTATGCACTCACTTGTATAGTCCAAGCTTATATAGTTTTAGATTTTAATTTTGCTACGTTACTCGAACATTAAATGATTTAATCTATTATATATAAAGTATTTCATTGTTAATAGAATTTACAGATACGCAAATGGTTTGAAAATTAAATTACCAAATTTACTATCATTCGTTACGTAGTTTGCCCACCAGCGTAAAGATGATAGTGTAAGGGCAATAGAAATAGTCCACGGTGCGAAAGCATTTTTTTTCTTTAATGCGAGATGAGTGAAAGAGATCAGTCCGGCTATTTGGCATAATAATGATATAACATCTCCGAATAAGTAGAGTCGAGATTCTTGTTTATTCTGTTGATATCTTGATTTCGATAGTAATCCTAAAATTGAAAAAGAAACATTTCCAAGACAATTATAATATCCCAAAAGATTATAAATTCAGTAAATTCTTTCTCCATTTCAATTATTCTTACCATTCGAGTATAAAATTAATGGAAATAACAATATATTAAAAATAAAATAAGCATTTTTTTCCCCATCTTAATACAATTGGCAAGGCCATTAGCCCACTTTTTCAGTGGGTTCATTATTTTAGTGTCCTCATAAAATATTCCCAGCTAAATTTAGCTATTTAATGAAAGCATTCGTTGGTAAGTCATTTTTATTATTTTTATCGTACAAGAACGCGGGCAAGTAATAAAGTAACGTCACGATTCTTTGACAAGGAATTTAAACGTAAGCTAAGGAGGTGTCAGCGTAAATCAACCGCACCGCCATTCAGCGTTAATTTGTAATTTAAAATGCCGTCTCTCAAGAGCGAATCCTTGGTTAAAGACGTACCGAGAGCACTTGGTATGACAGAGACGCAGCTAAGAGCCGTGGAGCCTTGAAGGACGTCGAGATCCGGGAGAACGATGAGAAATAAGAGCGCCAAAGCTGCTACTTGAATAATTTCGATCGCGCTTAGTAAGATGATGTGACGTGCGCTGGGCAGCTTGACATTGATGAACAAACAGTTCCATAGAAAGCAGAGGAAGTCCAGGGCTTCCGGCAAAGCGAAGCTCAAGATTATGCACCAGACCCAAGAGTTACGTGCATTTTCCGGAAGCGAGACTTCGTAAACCGGTTGTTTGCTCCTGGTGTGACCTGCGTTTACGTAAAGATAATCCACTAGGAAAGGGTCGAACTTTCTTCGAAGCTCTCCGAACTGGATTATATAAGATCAGCCGGTTATTTTTAAAAGGCATTAAGTTTGTATTACGACGGTACTGATTAAATAGATAAAATTTTCGTGTTTTATTTTTTGATTATCTCCTTTTCTGTCCGAAATTCATCTTTGAATTATTGTCAACTTACGAACAATAATAATAATGATAATGATAATAATGATAACGATAATAATAATAATAATAACAACAACAACAACAACAACAACAACAACAACAACAACAACAACAACAACAACAACAACAACAACAACAACAACAACAACAACAACAACAACAACAACAACAACAACAACAACAACAACAACAACAACAACAACAACAACAACAACAACAACAACAACAACAACAACAACAACAACAACAACAACAACAACAACAACAACAACAACAACAACAACAACAACAACAACAACAACAACAACAACAACAACAACAACAACAACAACAACAACAACAACAACAACAACAACAACAACAACAACAACAACAACAACAACAACAACAACAACAACAACAACAACAACAACAACAACAACAACAACAACAACAACAACAACAACAACAACAACAACAACAACAACAACAACAACAACAACAACAACAACAACAACAACAACAACAACAACAACAACAACAACAACAACAACAACAACAACAACAACAACAACAACAACAACAACAACAACAACAACAACAACAACAACAACAACAACAACAACAACAACAATAACAATAAAAAAAAATAAAATAATAATAATAATAATAATAATAATAATAACAATGTAAATAATAATAATAATAATAATAATAATAATAATAATAATAAGAAGAAGAAGAAGAAGAAGAAGAAGGAGAAGAATAATAATAATAATAATAAGACTAACAGTAAATATAAAAAAAAATTGTCTTTTTTTCTTTATTTTTTTCATTTTTCATTTTTTACCAAAAGAGGTTTATTTACGATAGTATTATTGCAAGTCATTTGCAGTTTATCTTGAAAGAATATTATTTGAAGAAAAAAAAATAAGCTCGGTAAGTCTCGCAAAAATTGTAGCGCATAAGGCGGAGCGTGGCATGGATAAATAATTGTAGATGAGATTTTTTAGTAGTAGGAAGCCAATAAAGAAAACTCGGTTGTTGTGCTGCACGAGATAATATCTGGCTTTTGTCTCCTCTACGTACGGCAACAAAAGAAATTTATACGTAATGGAGGTATTTATTTCAGTCACGAAGAGACAGTAGAAAAAATCTTTTTTCCTCATATTTTAATTTTATATCCTATCTTATTTATGCGAGTGTACATCTAATATTATGTAATATATTATCTTTTTATGGCGTTTATATGATTATTATTTGAACTTTCCCTTAATACATTCGGATTTATATCCCCTTTTCTTTATAATAAATCGATTATCGTTATATGAAATATATTATCGGTAACATTCTTTATATAACACAACTGATTGATAATCAACAAAAAAAAAAAACAAAAAAAAAAAGTATATGAGTGTCTTAAAATGAAATAAAAAAAAAATTAGCCTATCGTTTAGTACAGTTTAAATACAATGTAATATTCAACACTAAATATGAAAAGCTGGGAACTTTATTCCAATTTTTTTTCTTATATAAAATATTTTCACGAATATCGTATATATTGCTCACGCAACGAAGTAATCCTCATTAGCCAATTTATTTTGCTCAAATTTATCACTACCCATATCAATGCTTACCTTTATATGCTCCGACATTACATGTAAATATTACAAAATACCGGCAATGTGATAATTACCAGGATAATAGTTGCAATAAGGTATGGGCCTTTGACTAAGTTGTGACGTGGCAAAGAAGGCGGTTCCTTTTGCGATGACACTACCTCCAAGAATCGCACAAAATAAGAAGATATATAAGATGATTTTGACGATACGCAAAATGACTTCGTACCAACGTTTCTCAACCATCGAACCTGATTTTGGATTTGGTGCTATGCATTTGAACGAGTCCCACAACAGAATTCCTCCATTGAGTCTGTGGAAGATGGCACGATCAAGTTCAATCTATTGATGCATTGATATTGTATTTTTGCAATTATTTATTCACGTAATATTAGCATAAATGTTGCGTTCAAAAAAAAAAAAAAAAAAAAAAAAAAAATGGTGATTTTATAACTAAGATACTTTAAGATAAAAATATCTTATTGATTATGTTTTATCATTAAAATTACTTTAATATATCAATAGCTCAGTTGATGATAAGATTGACTGTAAGATTATTAATTTGATTATTTCTTAATTATTGCGCATTTTTGTATTGGTATTCATACAAATTTCTCTAAAATTTTATTTATCATATATGAAAAAAAATGAATATTGCGACTATTTAGTAAATTTGCGAAAAGTGCTATATGTTGTCAAGAAATGCAATTGTAACGTAGAAAAAATTCATTAGAATTGAATAAATTTATACATTGACATCATCTTGACAAAAAAAAATATATTTTTTTTACTGATTATTTTTTATGATTATGAAATTTAAATTTTAATTAATTATTTCATTATATACAGAAATGCATACTAATTTTTATTTAAATCAATTATTTTTTTAATTAGCTTTCTATTATTTATAAACTTGAAGTGACATTTTCATAATGATTTTTCTATTATTTTTGTATTTTCTTAGTAAAATAACTACAATAATCAATGGCTTAAACTGTAATTCTAATTCTTCAACGCAATTCATTCCAATTTCTTATTATAAATTAAAAATATAAAACGAATGAATTATAAATAAAACAAGCCCGACCTTTTGCATCCTAACTCAATCATTTATCTTGTATATTAAATTTGTAGAGAAGTGCAATTTTAAAGATAAATTAAATGTGACTAAAATAAATAAACAACCATTAGTTTTAATATGAAATTTTACTGGAACGCAGCTCGGAATTTTCCTCAAATATCCGTAGTTGAGAAGACGCAAACTCACACAACCAAATGATAACTAAAACGACCCAACACCACTGGATTATGCGCAAAACCTCTCTCACCCGTTACTCAGATCCTCATCGTCGCTCCCGAGGCTGCTGCCTCCATATCCGTAGTCCGCCTCCGGGCCAAATTTTCGCTGGCTTTCGTCCATACCCAATTGTCATTTATGTGAGCGATGCATTTTTGACTCGTCAGGCTCCGCGTTGCAATCTTATCGCTCACATTATTGATCAATAAGCGATAGTTGTTGACACTCCTCTACCACCATACTTGGGGATTTTGCTTATCGAGAAGTTGCAAGTGTTATTCTACGAAGCCGTCCCATTCCTGATTAAATGAGCTTTATTACGGCGACCCCCAATGCTGGCTAGTCCATATTCTAGCCGCGTCCTTTTAAAGGATCGCTGATCATTGTTTTGGATATTCAGTGCATGCCCCATTACCATACGATTTAATCATAAAGATTTTATAATACTTGGATAATAGATTAGGATAACCAAGGGGTTTTTAGATTAATTTTTAGGTTAATTGTTTTATGAAATAGGAATTCAATTGAACGTGAATTTTCTATGAACTTTATATTATATTAGTTTTTCTATAATTATTTCGACATCTAACGTTAACATTATTTTATGCAAATTTTTTAAAAAGATTTTTTTTTTATTAGAATAAGGAATGTATCTATACATTTTCATACTGCGCTGAGTACTTTTAATCGTTTCATTTAATCGCTTAGAAAAAATATTAGGATTATAACTTTATTATAATTTGTAAAATACTTTGTTTATTACAAATTGTAATTAAAATTAATTTAAAATACTTGAACGATCCCGTAATTGTATTCGTCAGGAGCGAATATCGTATATTACAAAAAATTTTATTAACCAATGATAATTTCATTATTGAAGAATGATAATAAAGTAGAAAAATATTTATTATGAATTTATTTTTTTTTTACTTTAATAGTAGACGCAAAGATTCGAAAAAAAAAAATAAAATAGTAAATGGAATTTATTTGAATTATTTCTCAAAATAATAACAAATTCTATTCTCGCTTAAATTAATTTATTATTTTCATTTTTTTATACAAACTTTGTGCATATATTTATGAATAATCAATCAACTATATAAAAAAATACTTTTCAAATAGACTTTTTACATATTTCTTATAAAATATTTTAATTATTAAATATAATTTATTTGATGATCACTATAGTATTTTTTTCGATGGTAAATCGCAACTTAAGGCAATCAATCGCACATGAAAGTCATCATTTCTTTCGGTATTTCAACGACTCACGAGTATCTTATGGTTTAGCGAACTAATTGCTGTTTGTCACCATCTTCTCTTAAAACGGATGAATCTTTCAATGTTTGATATTAATAACATAATAAAAAATATACAATAAGTAAATGTTTAAAAACTGCTCAGTCAACGTTTTCAATGTCATGCTAAAAGATTGCCACTTTTGGTGAGAGTTTCTGGATCAATTACTCCGAGTGCGCAAAGACAAACTAATGCAGCTCCTTGTTCTGCCCATTTCTTATTCTTTTCCCTAAAAACAAAATCACATCATTTATATTAACCTAATATTAACACATTACATGGTATTTAATTTAATCTTAATGTATATATATATGGTTAGAAAATTATTTATTAAAATTTTATATGTTTACATTGGTTAAATTTGCAAGTAGAATGAAATTTCATCAGATAGAAATTATACAAGAGGTCGATATTACAATTACTAAGTATAATCGCAATGTAAAACGATAAAGTGTAGAATATAATTATTCGGAGAGCTTAATTATACTTTGAGCAAGCTTTATCACGTTGCTATTAAGCGATGCAGCGAGAAGAATATAAATTTGAGAAGGGCTCCCGATTCGTGCAAACTTATAATTGTAAAACAAGTGGGTTTCCAACCAGAAGGAGGATCCGTATTTACGGCCGTCGACCAGGACGACCGACCGGAAGAGTTTCTCCTCGTGTATAGTGACGTAAGAGGGCAGCTTCTTCCGATTAGACTCGGTCCACCTCGCAAGGCGACTCTTCGGCAAACTCGACTCGTCGTTGTATTTATTCCGCAGGAAGGCACAGCACATGAGCTGCACGTCCTCGGCTTCCTCCTCCAGCTTGCGCTTACTCCCGCCGCTGGATAATATCCCGAGGCGCTCGGGCGCGACCTCGAACCTGCCCTGGAACCCTTTCACCCTGTACTCCTGCGTCTTTGCGCGGCAGTAATTGTCCATGGACCAGACCTCGCTGCAATCAGACAACCCTCACTATTTATTATCCGGCATTATTAGCAGCACCCTCGCCCTTCCCTGCTGCTCCCCTTTTCCTCCCTAACTTCATTTAATTACACGGATCTGCGAGACAAGTCGGACGTATTATGTGCGTAAAAAAAAACATAGGGACTTTTATATTAATTACAGCGCTGCGGAATAACCGAAGTACGCGTTAATACGTTCTGCAATACCGCGCGATTAAACAGTTAAAGGAATATGCATTAGGAATACAAAATTAAATTATTATTTAGAAATTATTTTCATAAATCTTTATGGTATATAAATAACATTTTCTTTAAATAATACGTGCAATGGATATTACATACTTTACACAGAAAAATAGCATGTCGACTTGCTTTCCACAAAAATTAAGGTAAAAATGAAAATTGTTAACAGTCTTTTATTCGAATATTTATAAAAACATTAAAATAACAATATTAAATAATGTCACAACATAAATAACAGTTTTTTATAATAATAAACTATCTTTGGTATATATACGATTTTTTTACATTCATTTACGAACTAACACTTTTCGAAAAACTTCAAAAATCTTATGTTGAATGGCATTACGTCTTATTCACATTTTTCGATGTAAGTGCTTTCATAATTTATTGCAAGCTAAAAAATAAATAAATTAAAATATTGGAAAAAAAGAAGAAGAAAAATATATATTATGCTGGTAATCAAAAATATATTCATATACCTATATGCACGCATAATGATAATCAAACATTGTAATGTTCGGAAAATAAAATAAAAAATGTTTGCGCATTATTATCAGTTTGTATTCAATTTTCCCATAAAGATTTTTCATTCGTATTTTCTACCGACTAATACATTTATAAAAAAAATATTTTGACACGCAATATCAGTTGTGATTATTAATTATTTTTTTCGACTTTATATTCCACATTAGATTTGCACGCACAGCTTATTAACAACATTTGATGCTATATAATTTTTTTTATTATTCACATTTATTCACAATGCTGTTAATAAAAATAAAAAAAAAGGATAATGAGAATTTTATGTATTTATACAATGATATAAGCTATTTTGTTACTTTAAAATTAGAAATGTCGAAAAAAGCTAGAAAATTTGCTTTCATTGTTATTAAAATGCATTTACAAAAAAATTTATAATTCATTTCTTTATATCATAACATAAAGTGTTGAATAATTTGGTTTAGTTCTAATTTTTATAATGAATATTTTTAGTATTAAATTGTCAAATTTAATCTGATCGTTCATTGTGAATATAATTTCTACACAATACCTACAAATAAAATATTATTTCACACCTTCAAAAATAATATAATTTTTAATAATATAATAACATTTGAAATCCACAATAAAGAATTAAATTTATAATTTTCCACTAAATTTGTATTAAAATTTTCTCAAGCTTAACTGAATTGTTCAATTTCAAGTATTTTTTATTTTTATTTTATTTATAACAAATGAATAATAGTTTTTAGTATTTTCATATAATAAAATGTACTTTTAGAATATTTAAATTGGAGATTTATTATTTTGCGTTTAACAGATATATAACTTATAAAGCCGAAGTAATTATTTTTCAAAATATTTAATGATTTTTAATACTATTCTTCCATATTTACAGTTTTGTATATTTAAAATTTTTAAATTAATTTAAATTAAATAAAAATTTTCCTATTGGTGTAACTTGGTCTTCATATTGACTAATATTTAAAAAATTTAATAAAATAATCTATGCATTGAAGATTTTTCAAATTTAAAGTAAAGCGATCATTCTTAAAATTTTACGTTTAAAAGCTAATTATGCCGACAAATTGAAATTTCATTTATAATACATTCAGTATTTTTTTTTTACACAGCTTGAGTAAGTCTAGAAATACATATATTATAAATTCTGCAAAACATGTATACAAACACATACATATACATAAGCACATATAGATATTTAATAAAGAAATATGAAAAATATTCGGCTTCTCATTTGAAAATTGTTTATTATATATGAAATGCTTGTTAAGACAACAGTCTTAGACTAAAATAGCTGGAATAATTTTCTGAATAAAATTTTTACTGGTTTTATATACTATCGTCTCTAGTTTTGTGTCTTATGGCTAAAAATAATTTTAGTCATAATCGTTTTAAAATATTTTGTCTGATATTTTTGCTAAAATTTTCTTTATAAAAAGATAAAAATTATGTTTCAGGTCGAGTATAACTAAGATATCGGCGTTAAAGATAATATTTTTATTTTTCAAATTGCCAAATCAAAATTCATATTCAATTTCTATACGTTATTCTTATTCATTTATGCACACATGTTAATATTTAATAATGCATTCAACCATTCTCTATTGTAATTGTATTTATATTACAATTTAAGCACCAAACAATAATGTACTTTCATATATTTCGAAATTTATCGTAAACTTGTAGATGTGTGATAAATTCAAGTATAAAAGCGTTAACTGTCTATTTATATAATACACAAACAATCCCTAAATATGTGAAATTATTCCAAGCAATCTACTACCACTGGAGGTAAAAATTGACATTGATTTTTATCAAAGATATAAGTTAGTAGTGCAATTGTAATGCTTTAATAGCATAAAAATATTTTCCATACAGCACATATAACTCTAACTATTTTGTTTTTCAATTAAACGGGTCTTTGATTTTTTCATTTAAAAATAAAATTTCCACGGATTATAACCATTATTATGATAATCATTCCCCTCGAACAATAATATTAAGAAAGGGAAGGCAATTAATGAAATAATAAAACAAACATATTAACAAATATGGACTTGGGCCGCACGTAATATGGCTGCTGATTTTAATTCCACAGCATAACTTTATGTGCGGTAAAAATTCTCTTTTCTCTCATCAAGTCCCAAGAACGAGCTGGAATGCACGTTGAAGCAAATCGAGTTAATGCGGTGTCAGTGAATTCTTACCAAATCTGCTCGAGTGTCTGAGTCTCGAGAAATCTCTTGCCGAGCGGCGACTCCTGCAGCTCACGCAGTATATTCTGCACGCAGTACTTGGTATTGCTCGGCGAATTATCGTAATCGACCGCTAGCTTCAGATAGTCTCGTATGACCTGCTCCATAGGGAGCATCTCCGTCGACCTGAATATCGAGCAGTTCCACTCGGCCGAGCGCGCGATCATGACACTGCTGCAGTGAGTATCCTGCTTGAAGCGGAATATGTCCTCTCTCTTCTCTATCTCCTTAAGTGGGTAATTTTATTGAGGAGATTTGTACGGATGGTGTAAGGTGTTTGTTGGTGGTATTTTAACGATACCAATGGGTGCGCAATATCGCCATACGTTCGATTTCACGGGAGGGCAGAATTTAATTAATTTTTAAATTTTCGCTCGAGTTGGCGCCTACGAGACCTTGATAAATTTATAATAATTTAATTTAATGTACTACAGTAGCCAAGTGCAGCAAGCATATTGTCGTATTTATTGTTCTAAATACCAGGGAAATTACGATGAAGAGATTCTAGATAAAAATTACATTGCCATTCATTTTAAATGATTTCAATTGCGCATTCAACATTGTCGATCGCTTTTTGATTAGAACTTTTTTTACCCTCTGTTCCAAAAAGAATTTAACAGAAATTAGTTACAGACGATTTCTGCCAAATATAAAAAAAAAAAAAAAAAAAAAAAAAATTCAAATCGCTATATTACATTATCAAAGAATAATAATAAAGTTGGAATATCGAGAATCCACGACAATTGATATTAACAAAAATATTAAACCTGTTTTTGTAATTTTAATAAAATGACGTTATACCCAATAAAATATTTTAATTCAAATTGATAATAATACTGAATTGATAATGCTAATGTCTTGCAACTTATTCGTTGATCGTTAATCAAATCTTCATCAATAAGAAAATTGCTATTAACAATTGCGCTTGACTTGGAAATGTGGTTTATACGATAACGGAATTCTTTTGTTCATATATATATATATATATATATATATATATATATATAAATATACTATTGCGCGGTAGGCAGTCTTTTTAAAATGGGAAATCTTTCATAAAGTTGACCCAATTTTTATCTAGAATAATAAAATCATCTAGTAATAGTCACTATTAATATGAATATGAAAATAGTGCAACTACAACTAAGAGAACTATGCTGTGTCAAGACGGGGCGGGGGACGGACGGGTGGAAGGGCAAGCCTACCTTGGAACCACCGTTGGCAATGACAGGAATGCTAAGGTGCTCGGCGATCTTCTTTAGGACGTAATTCCTATTAGCGTGTTGAGGCCGCTCGTCAATGGTGCGCCCGTGAACGGCAATGGCCGCGATGCCGCTCGAAGCGAGGGTGTCGCAAAGCTCGAGAGTGGCCTCGAGGCTCGGCAACACGCGTATCTTGCAGGTGACGGGTATGCTGAGACCCTCGACGAGCCCCCGTAGCATGCCGCTGGCTTTCTCCGGTTGCCCGAGAAGTGCCGCGCCCATACCACCCAGGACAGAGAAACGCCGAGGACAGCCCATGTTCAGGTCGATCCCGGCCACGTCGGACTCCACGAGGCGCGCGACCCTCAGGGCGCGTCCAGCGTCGCAGCTACCTAGTTGAAGAACCACGCGATCGCGTTCCCTGGCGCAGGTGCGGAATACCACGGTACCGTCAGTCTTGTCGATGTAGTCCACCGTCTTCAGTACATCTGTCGATTATGTTATTCTTCAGACGTTTGCGACGTTCCATTGGGGCTTCCAATAATTTATTAATCGAACAATTTAATTTGACAACTATCTCATATTGCTTTACGTATTAACGGTTTTACTATTACATATTCAATTATTAATCATTCGGTAAAGATATATTGAATAGAAATTTTATTTTCTAAAATAATAAAGAATTATTACAAAATTATATATTCATTTTTCATATTATTTGGAATATTCTCGATACGCATATATCAATTGTTGCATAAAATATACTTGTATTATATTCAAAATACATTTAATGAGATAAATTTATACAGACATAAATAATATTGAAAATTTAATTTATAAATTTAATTTGAAAATTTAATAAAATAAATTGATATTGATATTCAAAGATAAATACGAATTAATTTCATCGTCAATTATATAAATTGTTCAAACGATAAATTTACCCTATTTAATTATTTAACTTATTGAAATAGGTATTTGTTATGTATTTGTTAATTGAAAAGCTTTATTCGTAAATAAAATTCATTTGTTTTAATTCCTTGATTAATCATCAACAATTGATTGCTCCTTTTTAATCGAATAGCGAGTGTGTAAATTATTTGAAATCAAATTCTTATATATGTTTATGTAAGCAGTTATTGATGGCTAGATAGATAGTTAGATAGATAGATAGAGGGAGAGAGAGAGAGAGAGAGAGAGAGAGAGAGAGAGAGAGAGAGAGAGAGAGAGAGAGAGAGAGAATCTTTTTTGGGCTTTCTGCAGATATTAACTTGGTATTTCAAAAACATTTATATATATATATATATAATTGTAAATTATAAATCTGAAGAAATTAAAATATATCTCATGCGGAAACTTCAGTAAAATATTCATTACGCATCTGACTTTTTTAATATTTAAGTAAAAGTTCGATTTTTCAAATTTGTTTTAATTTAAATTTTTGAACTTTAATTGATGAGAAAAAACCAGTCGGTAAAAAATGTGACATCAAAAAAAAAAAAAAAACCCTTCACAATCGATTTATATTTATATTTTACGTTTTCATTAATGTTTAATTATGATGATTATCTATCAATTGTCCAAAGAGAATTTCATAATAATTCAATTCATAAATCAAATGGGATGCTGGATCGTATGCCAAGTATAGAGTAAAGATAATTTACAATAAATGTAAGTGGACTTGTCAATATAAGTGATTTACTGTTTTCGCATGAAATATCTGCTTTCAGATAAGCTACAATTCAATGTAATTTGTCATCTTTTCAATAACTTTGAAAGTTGCATAGGTTTGACATATCACTTACAGCGAGCTACAGCGCGATGTGTCATTTGGACCACAAGTTAATACGTCTCGATTACACGTATTTTCTACCATTCCCAATCAGTCGCTTATTATTCCTGTTGTTGTTGAGCAACACTCGGATCATTAGCACGCCCATGGCAATCGAAGGAATTTATTCAATACGATGTAGTTTAAGTAAACAAAAGGCAAACGAAGAAGGTAAGGCGAAGGAAGGTAAGAGTGTTACGGAACGAAGCATAATCATCGCCCGAAGAGGAGTTGTTGGTCGGCGAGGCACTCGATAATCATGCATCCAGCAACACGATGATTTCGCAAATGCAAAGGGTCGTGCCTGAGTGACTTACCATTCTCGCGTCGCACGCACCGCAGCAGTTTCCAGTCGATAAGCTCTTCCGTGTAGACGATGTCGGCGCCGTAGTCGAGGGCCAGGAGGCGCATGGGTAGCGTGCCGATGCGCACCATCGGGGCGAGTATGATCTTGTCCGCGTAAACGAGTCGCGGCCTCGGTTCCGACGCGGCTGTCATTTCATTCGGCCACGCGACACTCGGAGGTTCGAAATCGCGTGTAGGTGCACGTTGCCGAACAGGTCGAACAGCTGATGTCACGGCCAACGAGGGACGTGCGCCTTCCCATCGACGTGCAACCTCCAGGAACAGGTTATGGTTGTCGACGCGAGTGATGGAAAGGGACGCGAGATGGCACCACTGGCGGGCTCTAGACGGCTCCGCGTTGGGGGGCGGGGGGGGGCGGTGATTTTTCCCGGCCAGCGGCTTTGCGGGCGCGCACTCGTCCTCTTAAACGTCGACGATCCCCTCGATTATTAACGCCGGGTTTCGCCAGATAAAAAGTTACTTAATAACGAGCCACACGCTTGTATATTTTCAAATTTCCATTTTAGTCGCGGAGCACGTGGGGATTCATAGCGCAAGGAGGTAAAAGTCACGGCTCTCGCGGTGCAAGAAGCTCAACGTCGCGGCCGGTAAGTAAGCACGTTAATTAGCTTTCGACCTTAAAATTAAATTGACGAGGAATTCCGTTGCTTACGTTTCGAAACATGAATTATCAATTGCTGAAATATCCATTCCCTTCGTGTTATTCGTTCGAAAGCTTAAAATATGTGCCAAAGACACGCTTGATAAGAAAACATCTCCTTTCATTCTTATAAATATTTATTCCACGAATTTATTTCACATTTAAATTATAGAACAAAAGTATACGTAACAAATTTTTAACACACTTCCCATTATATTATTATTATTAAAAATTTATACTTTAGCTACGAAATTGACCGCGATCCATATATAAATTCTTGAATTCTGTTATTGCAATATAGTTGTAAATTCTGATTAATTAGCACGATATGAAAAGAATTCTGTAGTATAAATAGGCGTTAGTTTCGATTTTATTTGTATTTTCATGTTTCCAATCAAGATAATAGTTACCAATTATTACTTTTAATTAATCATGTTCATTTATGAGAAATAAAAAAAAATTGTTTTAAAAAATTTTACAGCTCACTCACTGCACGATATTATATAACAACGAACAATCAACTACAATTTTACTGTTCTTATTTACAATGATAAATAAGATAATAATAACATTTTATAGATTATTATTTTTATAGTTAAATTGAATGCCATTGTAGTTTATCAATAGAGATAGTAAAATCTTTTAAAATGCCTTTAAAATTTCCTATCTCAAATATTTTTAATTTAAAATTGAAAATATCTACACTAATTTAAAATAATACAATGATAAAATCTGTATTATTTGTAATATTTAAAAACTATGCGTAGATAATTTAAAAAAATAAGTTTTCATTTTTTATAGAATATGCATGTCTCTCGAAATACAAAATATGAATATCGGATCGATTGCTTAATAATGTAAAAAAAAATAAAATAAAATAATAAACTCGAACATAATTGAAAGATTGATTTTGATTTTTAAGATTTAGATAGTTTAATCGATGCATTATTAAATAAATATTTTAAGCGCAAGTTGTTGAAAAATCAATTCCAATTTAATATTTTTATTCTAATATTAATATCGTAATCTAATTATATATATATATATATATATATATATATATATATATATATATATATATATATAACTTAAGATCATTATTAACTGTATTATTTGAAACGCTATTACAGTTTACTTTATTATTTTATTTATTTTATTTATTTTATTTATTTTGATACAAAAAGAAATGAAAAAAAAGAAGAGAAAAATGCCAATTTTTAATATATCATTTTACAGTAAATTATAACTACGTAATAAGTGTTTCTAATAGTTATGAATAATCATTGAAGGCTGTTTGAAATATGCGAAATACAAATTTATTAATGCCAAATAATACATTTATAATGTCATTATTAAGGAATTTATTTTAAGAAGAAAAAAAAGTGAGAGGGAAAAAATCATAAGGGTAATTAAGTATTAAATATAAATTAAATTATTATCGTGCAGGTAGTAGTGCATAGGCAGGAGTATGTAAGATAAAATCTATCGTACGTATGTTTTATACGAATGAATATGTGTGTATTTTGCTGCCTTTGAAGACTTGAGTTATCGAAGAATTAATTGAAGTTGGGTTAGTCCAGTTGCTACTACGAATGTTGTTCGCTTTATTTTCAAAAATCTTTTCACATTTTCGTAATCTCTTCATCTTAAAATGCCGAATATATTCGCCTTACTTCATGCTCATAAGCCATAAAACGTCGCGCACACACGTGCAGCTGCGCATACGCGATCCGTGCATTCAGGAGGAAACGTATTGGGCTGTCTGCTAGATAGTGGAGCAGCACAGGGGAAATAGGTTATGTGCTTCGGGCGCGTCATGGCGTCGCGTCGCGGGTCGACCGTTGGACGACGATAGCTGTAGTGTAGTAACTACGTGCACGCAATTAGTGTCACGTATGTTTTATCCTTCTTTTGCATTTGTTTTTTGTTTTTTTATGTCTTTCTGTGGCAGCGGCGAGGCAGAAGCGTTACAAAGTGGGCGGTAAATGCATGGAAAGAACACAAGACATGGGCTTCTTCGTGGCGGGGGGAGGGGGTGGGGAAGGAGGGCTGGAGAGTCGAGGTACTTGGGAGTGTTGCTGAAACGTCTCGAGGCAGTCGTGGTCGGGTCAGGTCGCGCGACACGATTTTGGCGATGAGACAGCTTCGCTTTTCCTCCCTCGCAGGTGTCGTGGAGTTTGGTGACGCGCGCAAAAGACTCGTAAATATTATATTCTGTTTTGTCTTGCCGTTGGCAGTTTGATTGTTTTTGTTTCGCAACTGTTTTTTCTATTTTTGTTTTCCTTTTACTTTCCGTCCTTTTTAACAGTCATTGTTGCGGAATGTTATTTGTCTCTATCGTAGAGTAGAATTTAGAGCACTGTTACGTAATTGTTTATTTTTGTAAATTTTTTTCTTTTTTTTCTCTTTTCCTTTTTATATATAAAATTGTAATTTTCATTGGTCTTTTAATGAAATGCATAAGTATATTATTCGTATGAATTAGCCGATCTTATGTACAACAACTTTGCATAATTGGTGCATTACTGTTACGTCAATTAGTTATTAACGAGTTTGAGATAGTATAAATTTTAAATTATCTATCATTGCTTATCAAATTATTTATCATTCCATTATTTATCATGATTATTTAGCAGTAATTTTCAGAAGTCAGTGCGATAAATTAAATCCTTAATTATAATTAATCATTATTCTCAATGTATATATAATATCTTAATTGTATTTTTTTTCATGCTTTGATGATATATTATTAAAATTTGTTATTTTCGTCGTGACTATAAATTAATCGATCTTAATTTATATTGATTAAATTAAATATTGGAATTAATAGTTGTGAAGATCGATATTAGTGAGTAAATTTTTTAATTTTTTGTTTAGTAAGATTTTTAATTTAATTTTCTAATACATAATCAATGATAACCTGTGAATATATTTACTATAGAAAATTTTTTTTTTTTTGCAGGTTTATGAATTCGACAGAAATTTTCTCCGATAATCATTATATATTTCATACTATGTGATAAATTAACTTATAAAGTACTTCCAAAAATGTTGTTTATTTTTTGTTGAAATTGCCAACGTAATTAGAACGAATGATTCGAGACTGAAAAATCATTAAAAGAAATATAAAAACTTGGCAAATATAAGAAGTAGAAACTAAGCTCTTCCATAGTTATTCAACAGAATGGCTAATCCAGGGACTGTTATTGCACACATTGTAAAGCTAATTGTTACCATTACATGTATGAAATTCTTCAAGGATTCATTTACATTACGAGCGGCCGAGCAAGGATGGGCCGTTCGCGCTTTTCAAATCCTACTTGTGCATTCTATTCTGGGAATATTTAGATTCGGTAGGTAATTATGCATTGAATCGCTCAAACTTATAAAATCACGATAACGTCACCTCTTACATGATTTAAGATTTTGATATCTTTTATCTATATATACATATCTTATATTATTAGTTTAAATATTGATAAATTAATCGATATTGTGGTTTGGCAATTGCGAAAGTATTAAGAATTTACTAATTTTATGATGCTATAGAATTTTCAATTTTTACGAAAACCTTTTCATCCTAAATAAATTATCTTAATATATTTTCTTAATCACTTAAATATCGTAATGTAATAATGCACTTCTATACATAAAGCATAAATCATCCACAGTTTTGTTAAATAGTTTAGTAATTTAAATGAAATAAAAATAAAATAAAAGTAACATTACGGTTTTACGTAATTTGCTAATTAAATGATTGTTTCGAGCGCGTTTCACGTACATTATTGGCCTTCGTAGTAATGGTTTTTAAATAATTCAATGCACGCGCAATGTTGAATAATTCATAAACTAACGTATTTAACAACCTATAAGAAATGATAATAGTGAATAAAATGAGTTCATCCAGTCGTGGAATTTATAATTTATAAACTCGATTATAATGTCCTCGATTCGAAGTGACTTTAGTCGATGTAATCGTTCATTGATCTCACATCAATACGATCCTCTTCTTTACGTAATTGATAATAATGTTTCGCAGGAGGGCCGGGAATCACGAAGCGCTTCAGAAACTTCTACGAGCTCTTTTCGAGCGTAATCGAAGTCGTGCCCTTCGCCTTCTTCACCACCGAAGTCCTGCTCAAGTACTGCGTCCGCGAGGAGTTTCGCTTCCTCCTCCTGGCTTTCGGCCTCTTGCCCACCGTCATCGAGCTCAGCTCCACGAGGATCAAGGATCGCTCGAAGCTACAGAATTTTACCAACTTCGTGCTCTTCCTGCAGATGATTAGCCTCATCCTGGTGTGCCTCTTCAACGATAATTACGGGGGCTTGAGCCTCGGGGCTTCATTGGCCGTCGCGCGTTACATCTCCGAGGACTTCTGCGACCATTACGAAGTGCCCTACGTCGATCTCTCCCAGTACAGCTTGAGCTTCGTCGAAATCTTCGCCCTCGCCTCGCTCAAGGAGGCCTAAGGTTGTGCATGCTTGAAAAATGGGTCAATCCCATTTTACTTATTTATTAATCGATGTTTGTTTGCGTGCGTACGTGCGTGCGTTTTGAGAAAGGATGCGTGAGAGGTGGAGTTGCGGGTTCCCGTTGAGTAAAAAGATGCATTCAATCATTCGGGAACAGAGTCGCCTTACTTGAAAACTTGAAAAATCAATTTTTATAAGAATATGGGCGTGAAGGATCGCGCGTACCAAGAGAGAAATTTTGGCTCTACCGGGACCCAAGTTATTATTGTTATGAAACAAGAAACATTTGAGCTATTGTATTATTATTAATTGTACTTAGTGTAATAAACATCTGTGCTTTAGAAAATTTGCAATTCTAGTCTGAAAAGCTTATTACAATTTTTTATGGTAATTTTGCAGTAAAAGTTATTGCAAACAGCTTATTTATTTTGTAATCTAGGTATTAAGAAGTTGGTATAGGCCTTAAAATTAATGAGTGTTAAAATGAAATACGAATAATATTATCGTACATGTGAGTGATTAAATGTTGAAATTTGCTCAACTCTTCGTACGCTATTATTGTAAGAATCCAATATTTCATGACATTGACACTTGCTATTGATATTATAGAATTAATATTCGAGAAATGTACAATGCTCAAATGTTTTTTTTTTTTTTTTTTTTTTTTTAAATTACTATTAAACTAATAAACGTAAGAATTGCATGTTTTTCCTCGTTGTAACTCGAAGTTTCGATCAATGTCTCAACTCATGCTCATATTTAGGTTGTGCAAACGAGTCGTTTACTATATAAGTATAATGATATAATTTTCATGTGCAAATGCAGTTATTAGTATACACTTAGAAAGAAATTTCATTGATTAAAGAGGATATTTTTTATTTTTTATTTATGTAAAAAAAAAAACATAGTTCTCTTAGTGTATACTTAATTTTCCAAGATATATAAAAACGACTGTCTATTTGACTTAAGACCAAAGACTTATGGGTAAGAAGATATAAAAAAAAAAAAAAAAAAAAATTATTAAAGTCTATTACATTGAAGAATTTAGGAGGTACATTGTACATTACATTGTAGGATTCGATAAAATGCAAATGTACGTTAATCAAAGATGTTCGATACTCTTCCATTTATATCAACTTGTTTTCTTTACATTATCAAGAAAGAATTCCTCGGACGGATCCTACTTGCATATCTATGCTTCTGTTTACATTAGAAGAAAACATTAGAAATATAACTCCAAGTAGTTCCAGAAATAGAATACCCATATATCTTTCGTAAAAACAAAATACCGATGACTGTGCAGTTATAAAATTTGTTCAAACTGTGATATTAATCGGTGAAAAGTTAATCTGTTTATAGAATCTACAAGACTTGGCAAAAATAGAGCTTAAGGTAGAGATGGGATTTTCTTATTAAAAAAATTCCAGAGTGCTTTATACAACTAAAATACAGACGTCGCTGCATTTTCGTACCTTTTACAAATCAAGTAAATCATAATGGGCTCTTTCAGCTACACGTGGGCACATTTATTAATAAGAAAGTTTTATTAAAAAGTTTTGGCGTATTAATTGCTTTTAGCGATAATTAGAAAATTAAAATGTTTTATCAAATTACTATACGCATCATAATTTTTGAAGTTTTCTTTTTCAATATTATAAATTTTCCTTAATATAAGAAAATAAAATATAGTAAATTACATATTATCCCGAGAAGCATATAATTGTGAAAGATGAAAAAAAAATTAATTACATTCAATGAAATATTGTCTGACTTTTAATTCTTTTTAATGAAACTTTCTATTCAGAGATGTAAAAATTATTAGATTATTCGTTTATAGAATAATTATCAATTGTTCTTAACTAATTGAGAGAAATAATACGCTGTTACCACATTTACAAATATTTATTATATTCATACTTTTGTATTTATATAAATTCTAAGACTATTAACAATACTAGACTTTTTGACTTATTGTCTAACATATTATCTATAGATACAAACAAACAAATATTTGTAATATTTTGTATCGCTTTTATTTTATCGTTACTTAAATCAAAATATTTTTATTCATAGGTATATAAAAGACGTATAACTATAAAACTTATTAACGACATTATAATGAATTTATAAAACCGAAACTCAGCTAATGTAACTGTGATAAAACACATCTTACACCTATTACTATGATATTCTTTAATTAATTAATTATAGAAATTTAATTGATATCATTATCTTAAGTATGCTGCAGTATGGTGTAAGACAACAATTTAAAAGTAATATTTTCCCAATAGACAAAAAAAAAGAATTCTTCCCGTGTTAGAATGTTATTGCAATTATAAAATGCAAAAATACACGTTTCAAGCATGGACAACATCACAATACATCAATCTATTGACAATTACATTAAATTTGAAAATATTAAATAGGGATATGATAGTCTAGTAAAATTTAAGCCATATAGCTGAGCTACGAAACGAATGAGATTTTAAAACTATAAATTAATTCTTACGATCGGATTATCAAATGAACCGTTGGTTTTTGGAAAGGCATAATTTCAACCCCGAGTCCAGGAATTATCCAGTAGCTGACATGAAAGTCATTAGAGGTGGCAATGTTACCTGTTCGCTCTTCCTTTATCTTTCCCCACCCCCTCGCCATCTGTCTCATTCTCTCGTATTGTCATTTGAAAAAGTAGGTTCGCTCGTGTAACTTCCCAGAATGAGCATCTATCCTCGAATATGGAGTGTAAAATCCACGATAATGGAATTTCATCCCTACCCCGAGTGAAAATTCGAATGCATGTACAAGTCATCGAGGCGCAGGTGGCTCATCATCAGTTTTCAGTTAGACAGCGTACGAGCATCTCATCCGTATATTCGCAAGTGACGATAGTGGCTAAATTATTAATCGGCACGATAATCCCTAATTCTTTCGTCGAGCCATCCTTTACGCGGTCTATACCGCCGCCGTATAAGGATTAGTGTTCCACGAAAGGAGCGCGTGGACGTGAAACGACATGGCGGACCACAATGATAACCAGCAGGATGACAATGTCTTGCTTCATCTCTCGGTTATCGAGGAGAACCTCGACGTGGCGAAGTTCCTCTTGAAGCACGGAGTGCCAGTGAACGGGCGAGCCGTTAACAAAGAGCTCGCCTTGGAGTTCCTGACGGATAGCGAGCACCGATCCTACCTCGAGTCCATTCGCGTCTCTCAGAAGTCGGAGCTGTTGCCGGACGACGAGCTCGATGCCAAAACAACGACGGCTCTTCACTTGGCCTCCCGCATAGAAATCAAGGACATCGCGGAATTGCTGTTGCAGATGGGCGCCGAGGTGAATTCGGAGATGCAAGGCGGCGAGACACCTTTAATAATCGCGGTGTTGTCAAAGCGCATGGCTCTGGTGCAGCTGCTGCTGGATCGTGGGGCCGACGTGAATGCGAAGACCCTCTGGGGTAAGTCGGCGTTACATTATGCCGCGCAGACCGGGCAGAAACCGATGCTCGAGATGTTGTTAAGGAGGGGTGGACACGTGAATGCGTCCGACCGGGACGGGCTGACGCCTCTGCATATAGCCGCCGAGGCGGGACACAAGGAGCTCGTGTTCGTGCTGCTTAAGGGCGGAGCTGATTACGAGGTGAAAAGTAAAAGCGGCGCCACTGCACTTCATTACGCCGCCGTGATGGGACATCAGGAGATCCTCGAGACGATTCTCGATAACGGAGCCAGCATCAACTCTATCATCAAGCACGGTATGCTCGACCTCGCTCCTTTCACCTGGATTACCGACGCCGAGGAGAAGAAGACGTGGGAGCTCGTCTCGCGTTACATCTCCAAAGTCAGTCTTGTTGGTTGGTGGTATAATTCTACGATGATGAGGCTCTATGGAAAGCACAAGACGAGAAAGAGTATTTTTCATGCTGACATGGACAGTCATTGAGAATGCGGGAGAACTAAACGCCCACGATTATCCGAATATTGTCTTCCTCCTAGTCATACTTTTTGTATGATACGTGAATTTGTTTGAACGAGAGAGAGAGAGCGAGAGAGAGAGAGAGAGAGAGAGAGAGAGAGAGAGAGAGAGGTAGGTAGGGGGTACGAGTTATAGGAGAGGGTGCATTTTCTTGATGATCTTATTGGATTTAATGTAGAGAGCGTTTGAAAGTTGGGACATTGTATCAGCCTCGCGTTTTATGTTTGACATCATTAGTATGCTTTGCAAGTTTTCTTATTTTAAAATAATGAAAACGATTAATTTTTTGCAATACCATTAGATAAGTAATTTTCTTCAATTCATGAATTATGTAATTCTTTTAGAGATATTAATTCACCATTGTGTTCAACAATGTAAAATAACCAGTCATGGGCCATCATTTTAGTGGTTTTGTGTATCGAGTTTTTTTTTTTAATTATTTTTTTAGCTCTCTTACAAGCTGATATTAGAATACTTTTTGTTCAATCTGCATTTTACTGTTCATAATAAATATTATCAAATTACTTAATAAATTTTTTACTATATAAGAATCAAAAGAAAGTTCTATGTAAAATACTCCACTCGTATTATATATAAGACTTCTGATTAAAATGAACGTTAAATTTCGGCTATATTCTTCTGTTTGGAAAGTTGCTTTGTATAATTAATCAACACGATCAATAAAATTGATTAACCTTTTTAGTAATATAGTTTCTTTATTCTTTATATAGATCTAAATAAACTTTTCTATTAAATTTGGTTCATTTTAATTATTTTTCACACGTAATACACTCTTAAAGCAAGTTTGATCATATCAATATTTAAGTTAAGAAAAAAGAAAATTAGAATTTAAATAATTTAAATATTGCCATTGTTGGTTAATAAATAGTTAATTCAATAGCTTATAATTGATATCATTGAAACAAAAATATTAATACATATTCTATTTAAATAGCCGTTTACAATAATAAAGCTAACATTATTCAGATTGCATTTTACACATAAACATTTAAATCACATTATTTTTTTCAATTCAAAATAACTCATTAGATATTTTTATTAGAGTATGTACGGTATTTATTATGTTACTTTTTTTTTTGCCTTTTTTCCAAATTATGCTGATTAATAAGGATTAGAATGATTGAATTATATTAAAATCCATGATATTTTAATGATATCAATTAAAAAATTATCAAATACCCAATAAATAAAATAGTAAAATTAGTTAATAAAAGATATAGTTTCGTTAATATCTATCTATCCACTATATATATGGTTGTAAATGAAAAATGAAAATGAAAATGAAATTATACGTCTTTTATAATTGTTAGGAAAAACCATTTTAATGGTGATAATTTAAAAGCTATTTACATACACATCTTCGCAATAACCATTTTTGAGCTTATATGGAGCTATGGACGGAAAAAACTACTAAGCACGTTATATCTTATGTATGGTAAATAATAGTTATGGCGTGCTGTAAACCAACTAAATACTGATCAATGAGGAACAATATACATATGAAGCATTATTTTATGTACATATAAAGGACGCCTGAAATATACTTCGCATTTTTTTTTTTTTTTTTTTTTTTTTTTTTTTATATAAAGTACAATGGTATTATTAATTTTGTAGCATGACATTTAATATTACAAAAATTAATGAGAAAAACTAAAACCAGGGTATTTTCAATAATGACCAGGCAACGCGAATACAAATATTGATACAACTTAATGCTGCTCTCTTCTAACATTGTGTCATTTGTAAAAATGCGAATGTATATGTATAAAAGAAAATGCAAAAATTATACATGTATTTCAAAATTATTATTTTTGATTATCGATATATTTTTCTCACATATGGATTCATTTTTTTGCAATTTCATAACGAACAATGATGAATCCATATAATCTTTCTATCTAAACATATCTTTAATGACTAAGCCATGTAAATTATGAATAAATGAACAAATTCGAATTACTTTTAATTTAATTGTCGGCATTTTTTAAAAATTATTTTTCACTTAATAAGGTCTTAAGAAATTTATAATTATTAGTGATTAGAAATTGTAATCGGCATTTTGTTCCTTAATTGAACATGATCAATACTAGCGAAAATTCGTTAGGAAGTATAAACTAAATTAATTACAAATTGTCATAAATTCCATAATATGAAGAAATAGATTTAAAATAAATTTTGAATATATTATTTATTTTTTATAAAAATGTTTTATTTATTATTTTCATAATTAGTAAATAATATAACTGTTATATATTTTCTTAAATGGATAATGCCAGTTTATACAACTGATATTATATTAGTTTTTAAAAATGTAAAAGATGATACAGAAATAATGTTCGATACTTAGCTCATAAACATTTATTTCTTATTTAAAATCATCTAATAGAGTTGAAGATAGGGAAACAAATATTTTTAAATGAAAATTGTTTAAATGATATTTGTAAAAATGAATATAGATTTATTTTGAAATTAAAATATCAATTGCCGATTAATACAAGTAGAATGTTTGAATTAAAAGAATTTGTTTATCGGCTATACGCACTAAACCTATATTCATTTATGTCATATAAAATATAATAATCATAGGTAAATTTATATTCGTATACTATGTAAGCCATTATGCATAATTTCTATTAAAGATTTAGTTGTAAATTAACAAAACGTTGCTTAACATAATTTTTGTACTTTATTCCGTTAATAAATTTTTTTATTTGTTTACTTATATATGTATTTATTATTTGAAAATTATCTCTTACCCCAATGTTTGTTGTTAATAATTGTCCTTGCAATAAATTTTTAATGTAATATGGATATATTTTGTGAAAATTAGCAAGATTTTTAATTCTTAAAATATGTATTCGTAGAATATTTATTGCTTTACATTTCAGTTTTTTGAATTTATTAATTTTCACTGGAGATAGTGAGGTGTTTAATTAAGTGTATTAACATTAAAATTCTTGTATTACACGTTTAAAATAAAAATAAAATTGAATTTAATCACCAAAACTATTTTACAATATTAGTTAAATAAACGATGCAATTATTATAAAGAAACGACATAATATATAAAATATAAAATTGGTATATTTTACAGTTGTATGTATTGTAAATTGTATTTATAATATATATATATATATTTAAAATGAAAGATATATTAATTATATTGTTTGAAATTTTGATTTTATATTGAATAATACTGCAACTATGTTATTTTGATTTAATGACATTTTTTTATAAGTTATCTATAACTTAAATATTTATAACTATAACTTAGACGTTTATATAAAGTTAAAGCCGCTGGTTTCTACAAATTATGAAATATTTCTTGGATTGTTCATAAGATGTATATTATCAAAAGCGTAAGAATTGTAACAAATTAGAAAATATTATGAAAACTATAATAAATTATAGATACAGAATGAATCTTTTAAACTGTGCACGTGAAATTGGAAAATGTTGTCACTCTTTTAAATCGTGTAACTATAATGTTCAAATTTCATACGAATGGTATTAGTTGAAATAGTTAAAATAAAAACTATATTAATTTGAAATTACTTTTGATTTTATTTTGTTCTAATGTAGCTAAATATAGTTGTATAAATAATGGAAACTCCAAAGATCGTTGAATTATTATTTTAATTAATATAACAAGCTTGGAATTATTCATTTAGTTAAATTAATAATGAATTCTAAGGTAAGGAAAAATAGTAATTATATAATTTGTTTGCGAAACAAGGGAAGTAATAATTTAACGTTGAAAAAATAATAAAGTTTTGGATTATTGAAATGGAATTTGTATAAGTTAAGATAATGTTTAATAAGTGATTTGCTATTTCTATAAATTAAAATGTTATTCCCATTGTACGTTTTCGCTCATTTTACTATGCCTCTGTAATATTATTTACTATGCCGTGTAATATTCTTGTAAGTTATCCCATTAAAATGTTATTATGTTGGAAAATCTTGATGCACTAGATTACTTGTGGGCGTTAACTCCGTTTATTATGTACTCTTGTATTATGGTATATGTTTCATTCGCAGTTAAAATATAATAGAGACTTATAGTTAAATTCAATTCTTTCAAATGTATTATAGGATAATGAAATCATTAGGTTATTGTTCACGCTGTGCATGTTTCATCTTATTTTGTCATTTGTCTCTTATACCGGGATTGCTTAGCATAGTCAGTGGCTTTCCTTAATTAAACGATTTTAGTGGTAAAGTGAACGTGTAATCGATTTAGAGTGACTATTGCAATTTAGTTGATTATTTCCGTTTGCTTAATTATATATCTATTAGGGCAGAATGTGAAACACTGAACTCATAAATTAAATAATAAAATGTGATACTGATTTTTATTTACGTACGTTTCTACAGCAATAGATACATCGTTTCAATATTTTCAACGCTAAATATTTATGAAACTATAAAAATGTATTTATATATGTCAGGTTAATTATATATTTTTGAATATTTGCAAATGTGAATAAGTGTTAAGAGATAATATTTAATAATGTAATAGAGTTTAATTAGCTTAATGAATCTAGTTTAATCGGTGTATAAATATTAAGAGATAAGAGTGTATAACGTAATAAGCGTATTCGAATAGAAATAATTTGATTTTTGTTAATAATTCAATAAAACGAGGGTTTTTTTTTGTCTGAAGGAATCTTAAAAAAAAAAAAAAAAAAGCAAGAAAGGCTCGCATACGAATAAAAAAAACATAATGAATCGTGCAAGTTCCAACAGATACTTCAATTACAACGTAAACATAAAATAAAAGAGGCATCATTTTATTATGTTCATTCATATTTATTATATTTATTGGAAAAGCGCGTAGACAGAGCTACTCTTATGCCTGCATTATGTCAAATAAAAGACATAAAAAAATTAAGCTCTTGCAGAATCGCTACATAAATTCGCAAAATCATTAAGTGGTTTATAATAGTTTCGATTTTACAGAGCGACACTTGCAAACTGAGCATTTGACCATAGAATTTACTTGGCTTTGCCGATTTTCGGATAATTATACCTAGACTTTGGACTTCACAAAAGGGGTTCTACTCCCATAACATACCTGCGTTTTGTCGGAGCGTACCTACGTATCGGCGGCAGACTAAGTTTATTGTTCTAGGAATCATCGTCCAGTCTTAAGTTATTCTTCTCGATCTTTGAACTAGCTAGGACAATTCGACGGTCCTGAAAACAATTAAAAGCGTTTGCGCTTGAATACAGCAGATAAATCCTGGATCCCCACTTACACAGCGTTGTTCTGGCTTTGTTCGGGCGTCGCTCACACAAAATTCAGTCGCTTGGCATCGCTCGAGTCAAGCGGTAGACATTTGCAACGATTCGGCTGCAACGAATTAATTATTTAATCGGGATCGCAGCACCGTGAGCGCTTGATCGTACGCGATAGCCTTAATCAACTCTTCGTTTTAGCATTTCACCGCTCGCCATCGTAATACAAATTATCGTAATCGAACAAAAGAATGGCAACGCTACCGCCAAACCAGAACGCCCTATTGCACATCGCCGTGCTGGAGAACAACGAGAAGGCGGTGAGGTTCCTCCTGAAACATGGCGCGCAACCCAACACGCGCATGCACTCGAGCAAGGAACAGTGCCTCCGTTACGACATGGTCCTGAACGCGGAGATGTCGGATCTGCTCTACCGCTATCGCAGCTCCTCGTCCTCCTGCGCAATGATCGCTAACATCCAAACCCTACCGCACCACAAGCTCAATACAACGTACGATAGCCACCGGAATCGCAGCTTCTCCAACACGAGCGATATTTGCAAGCATTTCCGTCAGCAACAGCAGCAACAGCAGCGCAGCCCGATGCCCCTGCACGTGGCAGCGGCCAACGGTCGGCGCGACATCGTTGAGCTCCTTCTGGACTACGGCGCCCATGTGAACGCGGAGATAGAGGGAGAATACACACCATTGGTGATCGCGATTATTCTTAAGCAATACGAGATCGCGCGCATCCTCATTCACGAAGGGGCGAACGTGAACGCGCGCTCGAAGAACAGCAAGACGCCCATGCACTACGCGGTCAAGACCAAGCAGATCGAGATCGTGCAGCTGCTGCTCAGCAAGGGCGGCAGGGTGAACGCCCGCACCGATCACGGGGTCACGCCGCTCCACATCGCCGTCGAGCGCAAGCTCAAAGACGTAGCTGAGCTGCTGCTGAGGTGCGGCGCTGACGTTAACGCGGTTACCAAGACCGGAGTAACGCCCTTGCATTGTGCCGCCGTAAAGGGACAGCGCGAGATCACGGAGTTGATCCTCAAGTACGGTGGCGACGTTAGCGTTATAATGAAGAAAGGCGAGATCGATGTTACGCCTCTGCTGTGGGTCACCGAAGTCGAGCGCAAGAAGATAACCGACATCGTCTACAGGTACGTGCCCAAGACGAGTGCCAGTGGATTTTACGAGCGCTTCTTCAAGAAGATCTGGAAGCAGCTCTGCGGTATTCGCAAATGATTGTGGATAAGATTGTGCAAGCTTTCGTCTATGATTCTATCGGCCATTATCAAATAGTCTAAAGAGTGCACAATGACTATAATTTTTTGTTTGCCATTAGAGCTAGTGGTAAACGGAGTAATTGAACTCAAATGATCTTGCGATTCTTCCCGAGCGCTTGCCTATCTGAAATTAACATAGATTTAACAAGTCGTTAATGGTTAAGTCAAATTGGGTAATAATCAACTGTATTAGTCATTAATATTGTATTTTTTATTTTTACTTTAATTTTTCTCACTAATAATTTATTTAGATTTGTTCGTAATTGTAAATTCAGAAATTATTGTTAATCTTTGTCTTAAATCACATTTGTCTTATTCGATATTCCAATGAATAAATACAACGAGCTGTATTTTTGTTTTAAGTTATAATAATTAATAATATTTATACCGATTATATTTAGATTAAAATTCCAATTCATGAAAGTACCTTCATTAATACATCTTGAATAATGATTGTACCTTACTACGAAATCTTATGCGAATGATGATGTATATAGAATCTTAGTAAAAATTATAAATATTTCTCTAAACTAGGCGTTCATCTATTGTATCCTTTAATAATAATACTCTTTAGGCATGTAAGTAACAACTATGCGTTTTTTTTTTTTTTTTTTTTTTTTTTTTTTTTTTTTTTTTTTTTTTTTTTTTTATAATCTTTTAACACAACAATGTATTTAGTTATAATACAAACTAAAAGTTATAAATAAAAATTGTAAGTAAGAAGCTTTACCGGCGTGATTTCATTAATAAATTTCATCTTCAGTGTATATCCATACTTATGGAAAATGAAATTGTATTTTATAATAAATATATTATGTATTTCTTATCATTACTGTGTATTATTATTATCATTATTATTATCATCATCATTATTATTATTAGCAATGACTATATATCAATCTACCATACTAATGAAAAATTTATAGTCATTTTTTGTCCTTTACAATTTCACGATTGACAGATTAAGGTTAAGCTATCAGTCATTATTATTAATTAATGTCATAAAGCCGCTTTTGAAGGTTAGGCATCATCGAAATAGAATTCCCATTCGTAATTTCCAATTATATTAATAATACAAATTTATTCAAATTAATAAAAAAAAAAAATAAATAAACGAACCTTATGTTTATCGATTCCGCTTTATCCTGTTGTTTACTATTGTTAGCGTCCGGTTGTTGCATTTATCTAACGGGGAAATGGTCGACACGTAGCTTTTCCAAATTACAACCCGATATCATAGCTACAACCATAGGAGTTCTAGCAATTAGTTTCAGATCTTCGTTGAGCCTGTTATCACCGTTCTATAATCATGCTTTATACCGTAAGTATTATTTTATTAACAATAATATTGAGAAAATATTAATATTCTTAGATATTACATTTTACTATTTTTATTTCAAAATACGTTGTGATATAATATTTATTTTTTTACTTTTACTTAATGCTATTGTGTATTAATTATTCGAAATTGTTGGAAATTTATTGAATAACGATTAACACTATCGATTATCAAATATCAAATATTAAGGAAACTTACCTGTGGTCCTATAAGATTGATATTTTGTCTGGCGTTGTTGCTAATGAAAAGACGGCGATTATTTCTGAACGAATGCGTTATTGGTTTTTTTAATTCTAGACATAATTAATAATTATTAAATTATACACATTCGAATGCATTGCCTACCATTAATATAACGGATATCTCAAAGATATAAAAAAAAAAAAAAAAAAAAAAAAAAAAAAAAAAAAAAATCATTTACATATGAAAAATAACAATTATTATAATTAATAAAATAATCATTATGATATCCTAATTAAATTTAATTTTTCAACTCTGTAGCTATCGATCCTTTAGAAATCGATGATGAAGATAATACAAAAATTCAATCAAGAATTATTCCCTTTTACCACGTATTATGTAGAATTTTGAGTATGGGTGGCTTTATTTATGCTGTGTGCGAAGCACAGGGAAATCGACATATCGGTATTATAATTATTTCAACGTTAACATTTATTGAATACGTCCATGCTATGTACACGAACTATTCTAGCCAATTAAGTGACAAATATTTCCATTTCTTGTGGATGGTAGGTGGAGGAACATTGGGGTATCGTTGAATAAAAATCCATATTAATTATTATTGAATAAGTGAATCAATTAATATCGATATTACTTATATAGAGTATGATAGATATTCTTTAAGCAGGCATGAATTTGATTAAATTTTAAGTAATTCGAATATCGGAGATACATTGTATTATTGGAACATTTGATTTTGCAATTATAATTGATTCATTTACTCTATTCGCATTATTAGCAACAGTATTATTTAGCTTATAATTAAATACAGATGGAAGTATGGAAATAACTATTGGTTGCTGGCTTACCTACCGTACTGTATTACGTTTTTGGTACTCACCCCAGAAAAAGATTTTCCATGGTCTGTCGAGCAAATCATTAATAATTACATGATGATAGCTCACATTTTCTTAATGCTTGATGCTGTACGCGAAGCTCGTTCTATCAATTAATCAAACATTTGAATATTTTTATTAAATGAATCATTAAAAGAAAAAATAATAATAAAAAAAAAACATAGTAGTTTATATTAATTGTACTCTTAATGTTTTACTGTAAAATTTTTAAAAATATTACTACCCCATTAATAGTTAGATAGTAATATAAAAATAAAAAAATTATTGGTACAAATATTATCTTTTTATCGCTTAAATCTCACATAGAAATTTTAAAAAATTTAAAGGTCAATTAAATTTTACAAAAAATTTTTTCTATTTATTTTTTATCTATCATGAATCGCTTAAAGTAAATAATAAGCATTGGTAACAAACCATATAATAAGAAATATTAATTTGAGTATGTAAAAATTATATTTATAAACCTTAAACATTAATAATTACAAACACTAATAATCGTATAATTTTTTTCCTATTATCAAATTAAAAATTTTGTTTCTTAACAACACTGTTTAGATAAATCAATATGTATTGTACACTTATTGACGATGTACACGCGTATAAAATTTAAATACATTCGCATTATCACATGTAGATAATCTAAAATAAGGACAAGACGACCGATCTGCATATAAGGTCACCGAAATTATTTCTTCATGTAACGTGTACCAAAAAAAAAAAAAAAAAAAAAAAAAAAAAAAAAATAAAAATAAAATGAAAGAATAAATGCGTTGAGTAAATAGCGCTATTAAAGTACAAACAATGTCTTGCGCTCTCACTTTAAATTATAAATATTGCTCCTTCTTCGGAACGAATAAAAAAAAACATCAACGAGTTGATATTAATCACCAATTTTGCTTGAAATAACCTCGATTATTCAAGTAGTTTATTTACTTTCTAATAAACACATTTTACTAATTTCATTGACACGTATAATAATGAAAACTTATACTATAATCTCCTTATTAATCTCAATAACAATTCAATATATAAAAATATGTTTTATTAGTGTCGTATCATTCAAATTAGTTAGCACACTTATACAGACCTTCCCGATCATAATTACCTAAAAATTTTACATTTATATTAACATTGAACATTTACAATGTTGGATAAATCCATACTTTTGTATGGTAATAATTTAAATATCATATTAGTACGTTTCTTCTTCTTTTTTTTTTACTTAATTTTTACGATCGAAAATTAAAAATAATCTTTTTGCAATAAGAATAATTAACCTTTGTAGAAAAAGTCCCTCGTTCTAAGCAGCGCGCGCGCACGCACGCACGCACACACACAAAACACACATACACGTATGCACATACTTGCATGAAATGGTTATCTAATTTTAAATACATTTTATCATTTCTACATGAAATTCTTATATAAATGTTTTTAAGTAAAATGCATTAAAATTTTGTATACTTTTATCGAGTATTTTGTGGATTATCTATAGTGAGTTTATTTTTCAATGATCTGATTGATTTTTCACGTTCAAATGCCTATTAAATATATCGTGGTTTTCGCAATATACAATGTAATAAAATCCAACTGCTTTTAAATGTTTTGATTTAGGCTATTAAAATTAGCAGTCATTTAATAATTACTAATCATTCAATCGCCATTTTCACTCATTCATCCGAATGAAAGAAATTATTTTCTTTTGTACGTGCTCGAATTTAGTCAAGCATTAATATCGATTATTTTTTAATTTATACTTACTTCAACTTTTACAAAATATCGTATATTAAGGTCAAGTGAAGTTTTAGATATTATCTATACCTCATAAGCATATTCTTAGATCAATTTATACATTTTTCACTCTGAGACTGCTATTATCAGCACTTGTCTTAACAATCTTTTTTGACCACGACGTCGATAAAATACAAATTTGAAAGCTTACATTAGTGATTTCTGTTTAACAGGAAATGTTTTCCAGTATTAATATCTATAAAAGAAATCTAGGTAGACGGATCATCTACATATTTAAATTATATCAATGTAACTCGACATTGTCAATGATAATTTAACATTTTTAAAAAATAAATTCAATACAATTTATTTCTGTAATTAGCATGAAAATAGGCTTACGATTTAATGAGCTTAACAAACACATTAATAATTAATGATATCGAGTTATATTACAATATTTGAAGAATTCGTAAAGCTGGTACCTGTTTTATCGAAAGAAACATTTAAATTCATAATAAATTAATAAATCTATACAATTCTTTAGATTCGCCTAGATGGCCGAAGTCTTTCTATTTTTCCATGCCTTTTTGTCGTTGTTTTTTTCGTTTGTTTTTGTTGTTTGTTTTTTGTCATTTCTTCATTACAAAGAGCGAGAGGCAAGTAACCGGGGAATGATGGAACTCTCGTTTCCCTTCGTCCCGCAACAAAAATTCATTCGAGAACTTTCGGAGCGTCGCCGTAATAATCCAATCAGCTACACCGATAATTGGACGGCCGTTTGACAAGTCAAGTAAAATTTCACGCCCCCCACCCCCCAATCCCACCCCACCGGTTTCAAACTCTCACACCCCCACCCCTCGCTCTTAATACAGAGTTACGAGCATAATGGCTTCGCCAGTGGGCTGTCAAAATGAAAGCCCCTCAAAGGTTCGAGTTGGACTCCCGCCAGCCGACTTGGCCGACCAGCGGCTGGAGTCTCAGGCTGTTTCTGGGACTGTCGTCGGCTTCGTAGCCGGCATTCGAGTGGGCCCCGTGATTCTCGAACACGTCCTTCACCGATATCTGGCTACTGCGGGTCGGTCGGGGTTGGATCCCCAGCGGATTGCCCGCCACCCCGTAGATGTTGTTGGCTCCGAGAGTCTGCATTTGGGACTTGCGGCGCTGAGCCGCCATTATGCTGTTCCGACGACCCTCGAAAGCCTTGAAGGCCTTTGTCGATCGACGCGTCGACATATTTCGTGGAAGACCTGTTGGTTTTGGAGAAAAGCGATCCTCAGTCCTTAACTTTTATAGTGAACGTTCGCGGAATGGCCATTAGCTTTGCTAATTATGAAGATAATACATTGCGAGGGTCTAGTAGTTGATGCTTATTAAAATAATTTTTATTAAAGTCGAGAGAACGAGCGAGATGTGAATTATCTTTGAGAAATATCTTTTTCCTTGTCATGGCAGTTGAGGTCAATCGAATCTGAGTTTGCTCATTGATATTTATTCAATTAATACGGCAATTTTCTGAGAGTTTTCTTAAACTTTCTTAGATCGTTAAGTTTCATAATTGTGACAGTAATTATGGCGAAGAATAGTGATTTTTACGATACATATAATTGTTCACGACACGATAATGAATTATTGGGCACGGTTTATAATCATTATCATTATCATTATACTACTATTCATTACATTTATCCAGTTTCGAAATTCTTGATAGAAGCATTTTTACAAACAGTCGAATAAAAAACAAAGCAAGTTATTATTACCTTGTCCCTCGGCCATGCTGAAAAATCGCTGGCGAAAAGCAACGTCAAGAGTATTGATAGCTTGCGTTTTTCGACGGCTTTTCTCAAGATTTCTGATAGTTTTGCGCCTGCCTGGGCCACTTCCGCTTCCCTCGTCGTAATCGCCCTCCATACCATCCAACCTTTGCAGATCCCTCACGATGTCAACCGCATGTTTCGATAGCAACGCGTCTTCCGACAGGTCCTTCGACTGCAAAAATTCCAACGGAATTCACTATTTTATCACACGTATCTTATGTGTATCCATATACGCATAGAGAGGGTTTTACGTCTCATACGAGTAAAAATGATGGTGAATTGATTCATTAAAATTGCATTGAAAAATAGACAGTAAGTAAGTAAGTGAGCCGATTTTTTTTTCCACTGTTTTTGTTTTCGTTTTGTTTTTGCTTTGGTTTCTTATTGGCATCGTATTTAATTATGCGATTGAGCATAAAGAGACAAGTACCTTCTTGCAACAATACCAGTCGAGGGCAGTGCTCGCCAGAATGTGGGCCAGCGTTCCGAAGCGATGGAACAACATGGCTGTGAACTGGATTACGAGAATCAGAGCAAAGAAGAACACGAAGACGAGACCGATCGGCTCGAGTTGCAAATATTCTTTAGTGACGTGAACCTAAAATAGAGAAAACACAATGTTAAAAGTCGAATACAAAAGTAAAAATATTATTAGTTTAGCATAAAAATGTAGTAATCAATCAAAATTTCGCTTATGAATTTCGGCTTATAATATATTGTGATTGACCTCTTGATAAATTATATAATAAATATGGGTAATACATTGATATCTACGTTTTTTACATTTATGCGAAATTTCGATTCATTCGAACAATTTTTTTTTTTATTAATGATAATTAAATTATTAGTTCGTGAGCTGTGCTTATTAATATTATTATTATTATTTTTTTTTTTAAATATAAAGTAACGAATTCGTTTAGCAATTTTCATATATTTTTTTTTTTTTTATAACTTTCAATAATAGTAATTTTGACTAAATTAGTATATCACGTACGCTTAGTCTCGCTTAAACATCGTTGAATATAAAAATATAAATAATAACACGTATAAAAGAAGGTATTTATAATAGTAGTAATAAGCAGCTCGCGAGTTTCTAGTACTATGTTGTCACGCACATTCAATATTTACAAATGAAAATACCTGAGCCAACCACGAAGGTGTAAGTAACAATATATGTATATGTATGTATGTATGTATGTATGTATATTATAATTATTATTATTATTATTATTATTATTATTATTATTATTATTATTATAATTATAATTATAATTATATATATATATATATATATATTTATTTATGTATTAATTAAATTAATTTAATTAATTAAAAAAATTAAATTAATGATAATAATAAATAAATGTGTACGTAACATAAATATAATTATAAATATACAAGTATCCAGGAAATCGTAGAAATATATTGTTCATCCCAGTGCATCCTCCAATAAAATATTAAAAATTACTCATGTAGTCTAATTAGAGTTAGACATAGAAACACAGAAAGAAAGGAATTGATACAAGAATCCATTCAGTTTTCAAGCAAATCATCATACATCATTTTATAAACAATTCTTTTCTTTAAAAATCGAAATTAGAAATTCGTTTGATTGATTGATGAAACGGCAATGGGAAAGAATATGTGACAATATAATGTGCATGAATGAAAAAAAATTGAAACTACGAGTAAAATAATGTTAAATACTAATAAATATATATATATATATATATATATATATATATATATATATATATATATATATATGTATTTTTTTTATGTGAGATAAATACACAAAGTATTATTGTTACGTGAAATAAATGAACTTAGCTATTATTAATTAATAAGAATATAATATAAACGTAATGAATAATGTATTATAGTGACAATATAATTATGTACTCGTAGTCTCAATATTGTGAAAAGGATGAAGATAGGTTTGTGTATGTACACAAAAAACCAGGTCAATTTGTAAAGTTATACCGTCTTCCGGTATCCATTCGCAACACCACAGAGTCAAAGACTGAGCTTTTGTCATTTCATACCAGAAGCCAGTATTTTTATTCTTTTTTTTATATATATATATTTTTTTATTATTAATGAACCTTGCATCAAACGTTATTTTGTTATTAACATTTAAAACGCACCATAGAATTTGTGACCAAGAAGACTGAGTGCAGTTTTACAGGAGTGTCTCGTAATAGATTTTAAACGGGTGCTTGCGATAAATCAAACAAATTTTCAAATACAAATTTACAAATTTATAAATTTACTGAGTTTAATAATTTTTAATTTGAATTATCATCGTTGCATGTAAAAATCAAAATTTTGTCATTAAGGAATCTTTTCATGAACTTTCGAATCTACGATAACTCATTTACCAATAATATCATTTCATTCTTATAGCAGATTGTTAAGATTGATTAAACGTTGCAATTGAATTGAAAAATTCTATAATTATCTCTCATAAGAATAATTGTATTAATACTGTTTGAATAAACGTTGCTCATTAAACACGGCTTAGAAAAAGTTAGAAGTTATTTAAAATGCTTTCTTTTTCTTTTTTAAACCGCTCGCGACATTCTTTCGCATTCCAAGTTGCACCAGTAGTAGTTACGCGCTTGAAGGAATGATATTGGTCCTTTTCAAGAAATGATTAAAGAACCAAACGAGGCAACCCTCATCACTAGGTTAGTCACTCTCAAGAACACCGATGCGTAGCTTTAAATTTTTGTTTATTTCGAGGCTTTCACACATGGCGAAAGCCAGTACCTCCGATGTTTCCTCGATGTACGTGATGTTCGTCTTGACGCCCAGCGGCCACACCACGTGTAGTTGGTCTTTGTTCAGCTGCAGTAAGAATACGATCAGTACGAACAAGGCATTGAACATTAAAAAGGCGAACACACTTTTGTTGCGCAGCTCGATCAGATCCGCCGCTATCCTTGCCTGTGTATCGCGTTTAAAGCAAAAAAAAAAAAAAAAAAAAAAAGAGCTCATTAGTAACGTAATCTTAAGCTCCGCTCGCGACATTGTGCTTTCCTTTGTCTAGCCGTCTCTATGTTTATTTTAGTCGGAACTGCAGTTATTTTACTCTTATTTTTTTTTTCCCCGTAATCATTTGCTTTTAATTCGCTTGATTCGTCGTGCAGTGTTGGGCTTAGGTAGTCTCGTGAAAAGTCAGAGTACGACTATTCCAAGTCAAGAGACGTAACACGGAAACATGAGTGATCCACGAGAGCGGTTAAGATGCTCCAGATGAGCACGAGTCACGGAGCGGAGCGCATTTTTACCTCTTGGGAACTTTCGTCATAGGTGATGTTCGTCTTGATACCAAAGGGCCATTTCACGTGCAATAAGTCTTTGTTAAGTTGGAGAAGAAAGACGATGAGGACGAAGAGGGCGTTGCACATAAAGAAGGCAAAGACGCTCTGGTCGCGCAGGTCCTTCAAATCTTTGGCAATTCGCGCCTACGATACGGTGGCGCAAAAAATGGGGACAAGGGCGAGTTTACGATTAATTTGTGTTTTTAAATTATAAACCGACGTCGAGATAAAGATTACGTCAACATATTTTTCATTTACTTCACTTCAATTCCCTTTAATCATTGTAAAAACTATATTGTATCGATAAATCATCAATTTATTATCCATTATTCGAAAAAAAGATGGCTATATTTATATTTTTTTGTTTATTGTTTGTTTGTCTTTATTTTTTATTACTTTAAGAAATTATTAGCAAGCGATAAATTAACAATATTCTTTAAATGTCAGAATTACATCGAAGTTCATTAAACTAAAGAAAATATTTATATATACATGTATTTGTACTGTACAATATGTAAATTATTAAAATTGATTAAATTGATTCATTAATTATGAAATATATTGTTAAGCTTTTGATTATATTTATGGGTAAAGAAAATTAAAAGTTGTGTAACTTAATTTGTCAATCTGCCACCCATATTACATATTTATATTAATACATTTAATGAAATATATAAAGACAAATTTAAAAATTCATATTTATTTATTAAATAAATAAAAAAATCTCTTTATTTGCAATTCGACGTTATTTAAACAAATTTTATTGTATGATAGGTAGGCACGCATTGGATTTTATGGATTATTTTATTTTTTTTTTTATTTTTGTTTTACAATTCTTCTCCAATTTATTTTTTAAAGGCTCAATTGTATTATAATAAGTGATGTAATTTTCGTTTAATTTGAAAAATTTTTGAAAAAAATTTGTTTTAGTCGAACAATAAGAATATTAATTGCGAATAAAATTGGAAAAGGACAAATTATGTGATTCGATTTTTTCATGATCTATTTATTTTGAGAATGATATGAAAGTATCGTTTATCCGATTTCTGTTTGATCATTTTAATTAGAAAATTTTCCATTGAGTCAGTGTAAGTTTAAAATAACCATATGTGAATGGATTACTATTAGAAGAAAAATTATTAAACAAACAATTTAGAATAAAAATTTTCTCTTATGAATTATCATGAATTATAATAAAAAGTATTTTATATTTATGAATTATTATCGTCAAATATCGTCAAATATCGTCAAATATCGTCAAATATCGTCAAATATGTCCGTGCTTATTATATACGAGAATATTAATATTAATTTTCAACGATTCACATTATTTTTGATATTTACTATAAAGCTTTTACATATTGGATTAAAATTATTCAATGACTATATGAATTTTTCTTACAAATTTACAATTTTTTTTTTTTTATATTTAAAATAAGCTTGTATTTTCATAAATTTTCCCATTTGAGCAAATATTATAAACATTCGATGTCTTGATGCAATATTTTAACATTTTATTTATTGAAAATTCCATTACTTTCCGAGGATTGCCAAACACAAGCAGGTAATTTTGAAGGAAAAATCGAATCACATAATAAATGGAAAAAGGTCAAATACCTTTTCGGCCTTATCCTCGTCGATTGGATAGAGATACTTCTCGAGGAGATCCTTCCAGAAAAGTTCCTCTTGCATGGAGAGGACCTCGACCTCGCCCTTCTTCAGGCCCTCGTCGTCGAGCCAGTAAGGCCGAGAGGGGAAACCGGATTCCCGGTTATTGTCCGTGTTTTGGCTGGCGATGGTCTCGGTCTCGCTGTCACGTCCGTCCTCTTCCGCGGGATCCTCGCCGATGGCCCCCAGGTGGTCGGCCGAGCGCGAGCCCACGGACGAGGCGCGTCTACGACCGCCAGACATGTGTCCGTGCGGATCTACCGCTCTACGAATTTTCCAAGTTTATTCGAAGGTTTTTTTTTTTGCCGTAAGTCATGGGCGAGAGGATTATTATAGTTAGCTTTATTAGAATTTCGGGTTGATGAATTTACGATTCGCGCATCGCTTATGATTCGTAATATCGTAATATCTGTTCTCAAGTAGAGTAAGGGTAAAGCTTTTAATATCCTTAAAATGAAGTTGTGAGTATGATTTAAGCGGATTAATTGCATCTTGACGATTCCATCAAAGCATTTCACTTTACAAAAGAATGTTGTCGGTTACTCTTAACTTTATAATGGGGCACAATTTTCTTTTTTTTTAATGGGCTGTTATCAATTACAGTAAGCGGTTCAATTTAAATGTTAAACCATCGTAATCGATAATAATGATATTTCAATTATTTCGTGCACGACAGGTCATAAATTACCTAAGCGAAACTTAACCGCAAGCATTCGAAATTATAAGCAATTAATATAAAGACAGGAATATAGATGCGCGAATTATATGAATGATTGCAGTGACGAACTTTTCAATTGTCTCGAGCCTCTTGCCGAGCTGCTCCAGGGACTCGGCGATGGCGACGAGCTGCTGCTTCTCATCCGATGGTTTACCGTGAGTACACAGCATACACTTGAATAATCCGGCTAAGGAAATTTCGATGGAGCCCTGATCATCGTCGTTACTGCCAGTACCATTTTGCAAAAAACCGAGTAAGGATTTCTGCTTGGCTTTTCGCTTTGCCTCTTCGGCTTCCTTTTTCTCCTGCTCCAGTTCCTAATCCATAGCGCATTATAGTTTTAATAGCCATTTATTTATTAGTGATAATCAATGTTTATCCTTTGCTAAGCTCAGCGATTTATTAATTATACGTTACTAATAAACTAAAGTCAATATCATAAAGTGAAAATGATTGTACATGTATACAATCGACATTTAAATATGTCAATGCGAGCTTTCAATAAGATAAACAGTACATTAATAATGTAATACAATGTTATTTCAAAGAAAAAAAAAGAAATCCTCCAACGTTTCGATTTAGCTTATTTATTTAATAATATGCTCTGAGTATTTTCTTCCGTTATTTTGTTAATTCTCAACAGACTTAGGCAATCTAGTGCCAAACTCACTTTCTTTGTCTTCTTGACCTGGACTTCGCGCGTACCCCAAGATACAACATTGAGATTGATAATGGAGTAGAGTATCAACAGGAGGTACATCGATGGAATAGAGAGGAGATAGATGATGCCGGGTACGATACACCAAAACTCCTGAGGATGCAGGCATGCCGCTATGAAGAAGGAACTGGATAGCGATATTAGAAAAATTGCGGAGGGCGAACCGATGCCGTCCTCTCCTAATTGGAGCGCCGTACCGACAATTACCGCCATCATTATCATCGCGTAGGCCGTTGACAGTATTTGCGCACATAGTAGCTGAAATTGCCATGCAATAATTCAATTATTTCCTTCGGATTATTAATTCCAATAGTGCTGTTGATGCATACTTTTATCTTAATCAACATATAACACACACACACACACACACACACACACACACACACACACACTCACACAATTTACAGATTTAATTGTTGTTAATCGAAAATATTAACAATATTGCATAATTGATTATTTGTTAATCAACTATATTCGATTGTTTTTCTATATATTACTAATTATAATTTTATAATGTTACCATATACATTAATAATGGGTGTAAATTTAAAATCAATCTTACCTGTATATTTGCTTTGCAAGTGAAACAGACAATCATGAATAATAAGATTGGAATAATATTGTAATAGAAGCTAGTCCAGTTGTCGATTTTGAAAGCAGCGACAAAAGCTCCGACTAACATGAGAAAAATCGTACCCGGACCCAAAATAGTACCACCTGCCGAACAAATTTATCCAATAAGTTATAATATTCAATAAAGTTATAATATATTCTCATATAATTTCACTTGCCCATCAAAAGTATTTGGTAGGAGATATAAGGCATCGAGATATTATCGTTAATTTTTATCGTTCGTTTTGCGTCCATTAGAAGGTCCATAATATTAGCTATCGTCGATGGAACCCAACGACGACGTTGATTGTAAAATTCGTTGAAACCCTCAGGTGCATGAGTATACGCATCGCTAGCAGCTGAATATTCAACCTACAAGAAATTATTTAAATATATATTTAAATTTTCACATAACACGCATAATAATTTTTATCTACGACAATTAGGATGGATATTTAATATTCTTACGATCAATATAATACGTTATTTTTGGATTTCATAATTCTTAAATTTAATTAATTAACATTGTTAAAAGTTTGTGCCTGTAATACCTATTATATATATATATATATATATATATATATATATATAAACCATTTCTCACAATGAGATTATAATTTTATCGATGAAATAAATAAAATACCGTATAAAATGAATTTTTAAAGATAAGTTATTCTTCTTATGATCCATCAACAATTTATGCCGCTCAATATAATGCGCGGCCGACCTTATTGCGCGAATACTTGGGGACGACATCGACATGGAATTTGATTTGAAGAGGCAGCATAATGACGAAACCTCACCCGATATCCTCTCTGAAGCAGCAAAGTGCAAAGCCACCTGTCCTCGCCCTGATCGTACTGCACGTAATGTCTGGCCTCATCCGACCTCGTCGTGTACTTCTTCATGACGTTGTAGTCCATGAAGCGAGAAGCATCCAGGACTACAGAGGACGCAGCCAATCATGTGCTCGGTGGCTTTCTGGAGCCAATGGCCGATCGCGTACTCGAACATCTGATACCAGACCATCGGACCAGAGCCCACCGGATGGATACGCCCGCAGGCAGCTCCGAGGTTCTTGTTCTTTTTCATAAGATCGACAAGGAGCTTGACGGCCGCCGGCTGGAAGTCGATATCGCCGTCCAAGGTCAGCAGAAATGTGTTCTCCGCGATCATTTCCTTGCGATCGACGTTTATCGGCAGCTCCATTAGCCGGTGCCCGAGTAGATAGTACATGTACATCACCTAACGCCAAGAGAACAATAATTATCTTTGTTTTTAATCCCTTAAATTTTTCTCCATTTTTATAAACGATGCTTAATAATGATCGAAACAGTCGTATCATTTGCCAAGGGAGGTGACAAGGGTGAAAGATGACAAGAGAGAATCTGAAAAATCTACCTGACTCCAGCGTTTCCTGTGTCGAATTTTGCTTTTATCCTTGAGGTGGGCGATCATCTTCGTTTTACCGGGCAGAGTCCAGGCGAGCCGTCCACCATAGGGCGTTGGATACTTCTTGGGGGCGCGTACGTGCATCCGTGTCTGGTGTACATCCGAGGCGGCCTCGTCGAGGGTGCCAACCAGCAGTTTCACGAAGCGGTTCACCTGCGTCTCGTTCTCGTCGTGATCAGCCAACTCGAACGCGTCGTCGAAAAATATGTGAGCTGAGCATTTAACAGTCGTTCGTTGTGTATTTATGCTTTGGTAAAGTTGATTTTCATTTCACGTAACTATAAGCACTATAAGCTGTACATTTCCTTCATTTTTATTATTTGCCGACTTTTTGAAACTGTATTTGTAATCTCAACTTCAAAGTGAAATTATGAAATTTTATAAAGGCTTAATTAGCATCGTCTATCTCATTTATGTATAAAACCATCTGCATTCGTGCTTATATTTTGATGCAGAAAAGTTAGCCTTTCAATATATTTTCTCAAATCTTCAATATTTCTTTTTTCGTAGCTAAATGCTTTTAATACAACGTAGTTAATTATTACGTATAGATTGTAGCGAATTTATGCATTGATTACGTATAGAAATAGCAAATATATAAACATTAAATTGAACGTCGGAGCATTAAAATTTATTATTTTCTTTTCTGTCTATACCCTATGTATCAACGGGGACAACGAGTACGGAGAATTAAATTCGACTATTACTTTCAAATTCATAGTAGTCCGGATCGACGACCTTGAGATACTTTTGGGCGACTCGCCGAGCACATTGGTCCTCGTCGAGACGGAGGATACTCTTGAGGAACTCGATCATCTCCTCCTTATTCTCATGCCACATAGTGGCGCACGCGTAAATTCGGGTCACGTGGTCGCTGCTCTTCACCGCGGACGGCGGAGTGCTCGTGCCATCGGTTTGTTCATAGATCGTCTCGTAGTCGCCGTCGCCTTTCTCCTTCTCGATCTCTGCTAGGTCCTGCGGGCAAATGGAGGTCGTGTCACAGATCAGAGTAAGAACGCCGCACCTTCTCTCTCTCTGCTCTCTCTCTCTCTCTCTCTCTCTCTCTCTCTCTCTCTCTCTCTCTCTCGTTCGGTCTATCCGTATACATTCTCTCATTTCACCAATTTTGATCGCGAGGAAAATCATTTCGATGTAATATATATTCGAGCGATTAAACTCTCGCTCTAATTTTATTTAATCAATTTTTCGCAGCGTTAGTTCGTACCGAAGTAATTACCGACTATTTGCATTAATGTAATTTTCTTGAATTGTTAATTATGCGTTTTATGCTAACCGAGGAATTTTTAACGCATGCGAGTTAACAAGATTAATATGGAAAACTGACTATCAAAATTTTAATTGAAATTTATTCACGGTAATTTCAAACATTTTATGTTCTTTAAACATTTATAATGTTAAAATATAACTCTTTCCATAAATAATTTTTATTTATTCAACGAGTGGAAATATTTCATTTTCAATAATATAATTTTTCGTAAATCGTATAATTAAAAAATTTAGTCACAAAATCGGTTAGTTACACGGTCAATTTCATTGTATAATACGAGAATTATTTAATAAGAAAATATCGATTTTAAGCAGTACATTTTAATTAGCACGAGAATAACTAACTAATCATACGTAAATTTTTATCTAAATTCATATATATAAAATAATATATATATAAAAAAAAAATAAATATATTAGAGTGTTTTCTTATTTACTATTGATTTAATTGCATATATTTAATCTATGGACAATAGAGTTTATTAGTTACATTATAAACTAAAAAATATATATAATTGTTATATTTTTATTGGCAATAAAAGAAGGATATTTAGAAGAAAATACAAAAAATAGAGAATGCAAATATTGATTTAAATAAAAAGTAAATATCGCTATTAATTGGCTAAATAATCGTTAATAGACGATAATTAAAAAGAATAAAAATTTAAATTTGTGATTTTAATTAATATTGTGAAATAATAAAAAAAATATATATATTTAAAAAAATTTAGTAAGAGGCTGAAAAGATGTAGATAATTTATAATTGTTCAAAAAAATTCTTCAAGAAATAAATACAAAAATTGAAAATTATAATGGAACATTCGTACAAGCTGACGATCAGTGATTTAGTATGACTGAAGGAAAATTAAGATAAAAGCTTGTCAAACTAAATTAAAGTCTTTGGGAAGGAGAGATTAGCATTTTAATGAAACATTGTCAGTTAAAGCATTCAATTTATAATTGGTAAAAAGCATAATGATGCTTATAAGATTTACATTACTTTTGTGAGTTCTAGAAGCAATTGAATAATAATCATTTAAATGTCGGGAAGTGTAGATCTGCAAAAATCGCGATGCAATTCTCTCGCGCTGCCTATAATAAAGTGAATAATCCAATAATAACGGTCTCACCTCAACTTTGACTTCCGGTTGATCATCTCTTTTCCGATTCAGCCCCATCGACTGGTCGACGAGAAGGCCATCGTACATCGGGACAACGAACAGCTTCTCCGTCGCGGCCAATCTCTCGCACTTGGGCGTCCATATGTGCAGGGTGAACCATGTTTGAGAAAGCAGCCAGAGTAACCAAACCCAGGCATATTGTTTCGACACAAAGTCATTGAGAAAATATAAGGGCGGGGACTCGTAGAACAGATAATCGGGTATCGTGCCGTGGAAGAAGCAGGGGTCGCCGTTTCTAAGGCCGCAAGCTGCTATAAGAAGCGAAATGGAGACCGGGATGGTGAGGTTCACCGGGAACGCGTAGCTGAAGCCTTGGATGAGGATTTTGCAAGCGAACTTGCCTGTAAAAGAACGACGAAAATAAAATGTCAGATTAGTATTAGTAAAGTGTGGTTATTAAGGGTATCGCAGTCAAAGGTTTGCGCTTAAAGGGGCTTGAGAGGACGCAAATAGTCATCCAAGCGCATGTGCATCGCTTACCAAAAATGTACATAAAGTAGGCCCCGGCGATGGACAGCAATAGCACGTAAATAGGCGTGTGAAAGTCTGCACTGACGATTTCGGTCTCGCCATTAGGTAGGATTTCCACGATGTCGGGAATGATTCCACCGGCGACCGGCCTCACCGATTGTACGGTTATCTTGTGGTCGCCGAACGCCGTCCCGAGCATTGTAAATAAATGCCCGACATTTTGTCCCTTTAAATGCAGGATAATCATGCTACTTATGACGAAGGCAATGATCTTCCACACTGATACGAAGATGTAGGTGAAGTAGCGCGTCAGGATCAGATCCTTCTTCACACGGCCAAGTGTCTTTATGATACCTATCGCAAAGAGTCGATGTGTCAGTGCTGTTGCTGGCACTATTACTTTTCATGGGGCAATGGAATTTTTTGGCTTTTAGGTGTTTCTAGGGAGGGAGGAGGGAGGAGATGTGCTCGTCTTGGTGATGAGAACTTTAGCGAAGTAGCGAATGGAATATCGAATAGCGCTAGGCAGCAGCGTCGAAAAAATTACACGCCTTAAATTCGTACTATTATCGGCTACGAAAGAGGAATAGCGCAAGCCATTAATATTTAATTAAAGTAGTTACGGTAACCGAGTATTTGAAATCTGTATGTTTCAGTCAGAGACTACTCGAGGCTCAAATATTTTTACACAACACGCCTGCAACAAGCATAAAACATACGCTACAGAACACGTAACATCGTGCTTGAAATTCAAATGACGAAGAATAATCATACTGTATGATAGCTTGCGCTTGTAAGAAAATGGAGGGGAAAAAATAGTATTGGTATTCTGGTACTTTATATGGTTGTAAATACTGCTCCTTATAGTGCGCAAGACTTGTCCGAACCAAAGCAATACTATAATTTGCAGTACGATTATACTTGGACACTTGTATTCTATTTGTTTCTCGGCGAGGAGAGAGAATTAAAAAACAAAACATCGTGCTTTAATTACCTATTGGACTTTGTACGGACACGTAGTTCTCCCACCATCGGCAAGAGATCATTATAAGCGCGGGTGGGATAAGCCAAAGAGAGGGTGTTTTTGTGTCGAGCAGTGGCCAGACTATGAATCCTGTCACTTGAGCTGCCAAGGCTGCGAGGTCCACGAGTATCAGTACGAACCGCCTCGATTCGTCCTTGTTCTTGTTCCTGGACATGAGTCCTGTAAGACACGGGGAATGTGGATAATAAGTGGCGATTTTCACTGATATTCGAAGTTGGCAAGTCAGCAATTTTTGTTGTTGTTGGAAGTAGGTCACTTTTGAAATTTGCATACTAAATAAAGTTTTATTTACGGAAAATATCGACTAGCCTGGCTCGATCTTTTTATTTTTAATAACGACGTTTTTATCGAAGCGTTCACAAGGGGATCGTTATTAGCAATTCTTTTAATTTAAAACTTTTCTTCTGTCCCCCCTATAAGTAGCAAATAAATTTTTTATGCCAAATTTATAAAGAACCTTTCAATTGCAACTTAATAATGTTTGATATTTCACTTTCATATTTTATTCAATATTAATGCTATAAATAATTACAATATATATTAGTATGGCGAGTGCTCATCTCATAAAATCTGCAACTGCATATATTAAAAAATTAATTGCAATATTTGCATTAGGGGGTCGATAATAATTAATGAGATTAATCGGAGATTAATCAATTAATTTATTGATAATGTAATAGTCAAAGTAAATGTAATATGAATGGCTTGAGTAATCTTCTCCAGGGGGGGGGGGCATTCGTAATAAAAAGTGAACATTACCGAGCAGTCCAGGAACGAAGCAGACGCAATTAGTGAGCATCACTCCCTTGACGACGTCGAGGTCCGGAAGTATGGCCAGAAACAGCATTGCCAGCCCCACCACGTGAAATGTCTCCATGACAAAGACAAGTAGGAAGTGCGAGGATAAGGGCTTTTTCCATGATTTGAACACGCACATTCGAATACTGCGGAATAACGTGCCGATTTCCGGCACCGCGAACACTATCACGATACACCAGACCCATGCTATTCGCTCTTCTTCTGGTAACGTTACCACGAATTGCTTGTCCCGACCTGCGGACACAATTCCTCATTTAAAGACTTTGAAGGACGCAATTGCCATCAAGACAGAAATTAATTGAAAAATGAATTAATTTGAAAAAAAACAAAACACTTTTAAATACGTTTTTCCAAAGGGAAGAAATAATCGAGAAAGTAGATTAATAACAAAGAGTCTTATTTTCTTTTTAATAATGATATAAAATTACAAATATTTAACATTCTTTTTTATTAATTATGGGGCACCAATAAAGGTCGGCTATGGTTTTATTGTATATGTGCAATTAAATTTTTTTTCTTCTCTTTATCTCCTTCCGCTATGAAATATTTGATTAGCAAGTTCTGAAGTCTTCAACAACGCTCGGTACTTTATGACAAATTTCTCTAAAATAATAATTATTTTTAAAGTTCAAATTAACGATCGCAAATATAATAAAACTTTACGTATTTTGTTGTACGCGCAATTATATTAGAATTCATAAAACACTCATAAAACTAATACGTTATAGAAATTTGAACTTATTGCATTTTATATTTATTTTTTTTTCTTCTTATTAATTTTATTTGATGTTTTTATCTAATGCAACGTTATAGCGTTATAAAGTCATTATCAACATTAATTAAAATTAAGATAGTAAAATAAATAACTATAATAATTTTAAATTATTGATTTATTATTATTAATTTGAGATAAATGACATGTAAAACACAACTGTATCATTGTTTGATTGAATTTTACAGAAGAAAGCAACGACTCGTGTTCTAATATCATGTGCGTATGTATGTCTGTGTTTTTTTTTCGAAAATAACTACTTATTTATTAATGTATTGTCAATTTACAATATGCATGTGCACGTAAATGAATACAAATAATATAAAAGTAATTGAAGTGAAAAAATTGAGTGAAGGTGGAGTGTGTAACAAAGAAAATCACTAGTAATAAACAGTTAAACGAGCACATAAAAAAGACGTGTCTTTATCGTCACTATCTTCGAGTCAGGTCATTATTACATGGCATAAAAATCTTTAAACTGTAATTAATAATCAATAACCAGTTACAAACACTCATAAATTATAACCGATCAATTAGTTTTTTTTTTTTCTTTAATAAAAAACATCATCATTTATTTGAAAGAATAATGATTTGATAAAAACAACTACACAAATTCAATAAAAACTTTACAATTAAGAAGCGTAATGTTTTTACACTGTATTTTTAGTTTAAAAAAATGGTTTTTATTTACATATTGCCGTTTATTGTAAGACATTTAGATTGGAAAATTTGTTGTAAGATATTTAAAACATTTTTGTATTAATGTAGAAATTAAAATTTATTTATGTACAGTAGATGTTGCTACATATAATCATACGTTGTTGAAGTTTTTTGCTAACAGTATAGTATGAAATAAATTTTTATCTCGGACTACTATATGTGTGTAAAATAGTTATAAATACTTTAAGGAATAAGTAAAGATAAATTCTATGTTAGTTTAGAATTAAATTTCAAAATTTTAAATTTTAAATTTAAAATTGATATTTATTGATAAAATGATTATGAAAATTTGTAGTAATAATTTTTTTCTTTATTTACGAACTAAAATTTTTTAAATTTATTTTTTAATTGAAATAATTAAACGGCCTTTAAAATTGTATTCCATAATTATTATATGATATTTGTGAATTAATTCATATAAGATTTTATACTTCTCGAAGTATAAAAACTTCTTTTTCATATAAAATAATAAGGCATTTATTTGATTTATGACTTATTTTCATAATTATAACAGTAAAACTAGTTAGACAGTAATATTGAAATTAAGAAGCATCAATATTTATAGTGGCTCAATGCATTGAAAATATTAAAAATATTTATAACTTTAAGAACTTTACGTATATGGAATTTATGTGGAAAATTGCTTAATTATTTAGATATTCAGAGTACAATAAATTTATTGTACTAAAATTTATGACTTATGTTATTGCAATTATTAATAAAATTTAATTGAAAGATATTATACATATAATAATGTTTGAAAACTACAAAAAACTGAGAATTAACTTTATATAGTCATTACCTATAGTACTTTTATCGTATTAACTTTATTTTAAAATGTTATAAGGTATGTTGTGTGTGTGTGTGTGTGTGTATTAAAAAAAGAGGGAAAGGAATGTATATATTTGCTAAGCAGCTTGAGAATTCGTTTTAAACCGTTATGAGCTATATAACATTGATAACTCAAACAAAATTTATAAAAACAGCATCGTATAAATTTTGATTTTATTTTACTGTATAAGTATGAGAATGTAGATAATTATTATCTGAAAAGACTGATCGGTTATTATTAATTGTCTTTTAAACATTTAATATTAATTTTTTTGCAGCTGTTAAAATATTTCAAAATTTGATATCTTTGAAATGATATTAAATTTATCTCTCCTGGTACTGCAATTGAAACTTTGTCTGCTCTATAGTGATTATTAATGTGTGATAATTATATTAAAATTTCAATTAGAGAAAAAAAATTATCTATTTAAAAAACTGTCAAAAATAAAACTATCTATTAAAAAAAAATTAATAGTAAAAATATATAATATTAAAAAAAATATTGAAAAACTATTTATGTATAGTTATAAGCAATGAATTTTACTCAATTAAATTTTATAATTAAATTTAAAAAAGTAGGACTGGAAAAAATAAATCCTAATCGATTAACTAATTTTTTTTTGTTCTTATAAGCATATTTAAATATCTGCATATTTTTTTTTATCATTTTCATATTAGCCCTATCTAATATATGTAATAATTAAATTAATAAAGAAATTTTTATGCTCTATTTTTGCATCTACAATCGATATTATATTTAAGAATTAAATTATTTATTAAGTGAGTGATTTGATTACGCCATAGTTTTTATTCGTCGTTTTCTTTTACATAAATTAAAAGAGTATGATTGATTAATATTTTTATTCTGTCTATTAAAAAACTTCTTATCTACATCGTAATGATAACAAAAATTTACATTATATTACGAGCTAAAATGTCAAGTACATGCGAGCCAAAAAATGACTCTAGTAATAGATGTAAGAGAGAGAGAGAGAGAGAGAGAGAGAGAGAGAAAGAGAGAGAGAGAGAGAGATATGGAGGGGGGGGGGGGTGAGCGAGGGAAAAGTGATAGTATATTCCCACTTACCTAATTGTCTATTGCAGTATACGATTGAACGGCCGGCCTTGAGCTGCGAGGTCATGAAGAGGATCGTCCCCTTGGCGATCACACCGCTGCCGAGTACTATGATGAAGACTAGAAGATAGACAACTGCTTTTGTTATCTGAACTGTGATGTCGAGGCAGCGTTGATTAGCCATTGATCCCGAATCAATCTTGGGTGGTGGATCTCGAAACACGTCCCATCCTTTCGTTTCGACGACAGTTCTCTGGCTATTTTTTATGAGATTAATTATTTAAAGAACAAATTAATAAGATGTTCAGTACTTAATGCGTATTTTCATTTTTTTTTTACATCGCTGAAGGAACGTAAATTTACATTTACTTGTCAATAAATTCTAAACTATACGATATTTATTCGAAGATTAGACAAGATCAAACAAGAGTCCGTTATAATAATTAACATTTTTTGACAAAAATAAAAAAAAAAAAATCTTGATAAAAAAGAGAAGAAAGGCAAGACTATTTCATACTTATATTTTATTTAAATACATGAAAAACTAGAATGTATGATTGTCCTTGAACCGGTTGGTACATAAATTAAGACACGCTTAGAGCATTTGAGTTTCTTCTGTATGCTGTACAAATAAATTTTCACGCTATCATATATCAAAAGGAATGAGACGTAAATTTAATATTAAAAATTACTTCATATTCAAAAGTAAAAATCTTTGCACGTGATAAGTAATAGCTGACCACTATGAGTGAACCTTATCACCATAAGATCTACGGATAATGTAATAATTAAGCCTAAAGCCTCATGGGAAAACCTCGATAACGTATCCCGTTGTATATGTTCGAAAAACGCGCTACGATTAAAGGAAGAAATTGAAGAAGAAAGAAGAAGGAGACAAAAACCAAACAATAAATGCATTACCTGCCACCGTAATCTTGAGTGAGAGGTGTACTTTCGTCGTCCGAAAAATCATCCGGACCACCTCCGCCGCCGCCTCCGCCAGCACCGGCGCCACCGCCGCCGTCAACGCCACCTCCACCAGGCACCGAACCATTCTGTTGCTGTAGATGGCCTTTCGACATTCTTACTTTTCACCAGCTGGAATTACACAAGCGGAAATCGACGTTAGCGCTGCTGTTTTGTACAATTCGCGAAAAATTTTTCCATTTCTACATGCTTATTAAGTGAGATCAAGACTCGTCGGAGACGGGACGCTTGATTATAGTTTCTAATACTTATGGCCATAATGCCCAAGTGTTTTTTTCTTTCTTTTTTTCTTTTTCAGTTTGTTTTGATTCTTTTTCGTATCTTTTTCACGTTTACTAGGCAAGTGGTTTTAATTGATCGAAGAGTCCTATTTATGCTGTTTTATTACTTAGGAAATATTTTTCATAAAGAAATCTTCGAAATTTCATAGAGATTGTCTAGTATATAAAATAATCTAGGATAAAAGTAACCTTTATTATGGTGTATTGAAGGAAGGGAAATACGAATGATATTAGAAGAACGAGACAACAGTTTATTATGATTGCTAAAATTGCCCCAAACTCGATTAAATTACTAGCTATGGTTAATCAAATATATGGGATTTCATAGATGATCGAGGAAAATGTAATTAGATATGAATTTATTTTTACATAACGAGAATTCAATAGTCAAACAGATCGTTTTAGTCCGTAATAATTTTGTTTGTTCAATCTCCTGTATCGGAGATATCGGCTGATTTTGCGCAATCAAGGCATATACTATTTGTTTACAATTACTCAATGTAATATATAGTAGATTTTCTCTAAGACCGGGCAAATAAAATTAGTTATTCTTTATTTTTCTTTGCTAGTAGCTTTGTGAAATCTTGATTGCTTTCGATAAGTTGTCGAAGTTTCGAAAGGACATATATATATTTCTTATTTTTTTAATTCATATGCAATTTAATCACTATAACAATCATTACTATTATTATAACGAATTTTTATTATCTCTCTTATCATCACTATTTATATTATTAAATTTCATTATCTAATTACATCAATTTTTAAAGTTTGTTCTTTAATTTTACCGAATTGGATCTACAATTACTGCATGGTTGTTATACGCGTAATGAGTTTTACTTCGAATTTATAATTAATTCTTCTTACAACATTAAAGTTATACAACTTTTATTTATTATTATTATATTTTTATATTATATTATTATAATGTATATATAATGAATAATACACAAAAAAGGAAGCAAAAATTAATTTTTATCTTTATAACATGTCTTCTTATATTACGATTTTTATATCTCCTTATTTAAGAATATGAGGCTCAATATGAAGAAAATTTAATTTAAAAAATATCGTGGGAAATTTGTGTATCGTATTACGACAACATCTTAGATCATTTTAATTGAATGGAGTTACACGAATTCTAAATTATAATTAAAAAATTGTGTAATATTTTTATTTATGTAAAAAAAAAATATATATATATATATATATATATATATATAATAAATTATAATTTATTAATATTTCCGCTCATATACTACAGTGGAACGTAAGTATGACAAAAAGTGTTATCATCTTGTTATTCCAATTGTATTGTGTAACTTAACATTTAATATTAAGTAACATAAAATATGAATAATATAAAATATTTTATCATATAAATATATGTATATATATGAAAAATTAATATAAAATTTGATTCTATAAATTATTTCTTGGCGCCTGTACTTATGATTTGTAATAAGTAAATACTTAAATAGTTAAAATTTTGATGAAATTAATGTAAAAGGTTCCAAGACGAAAAAAATTTAGTAATTTCAAATCGAATATTTTTAATACCTCATTAGGTTTAAAACATATTTAATATTTTAAAAGTAATTTACATCGTTTTTTTTGTACATTGTACTACTTTAAAATATTTTTTCCTATATTTTGTTTCATTTTATTATTTAATTTAATTTTTTTATTATTTTTTCACATTCTATTTATGTGCAATTCAATTTATTGTAAAATTCTGTTATATCACAAAATAAATAATACCATAAATTTCACTATCAAATAAAACCATAAAAAGTTTAAAGTTTCTTGTTTTTTTTTTTTGTTTTTATAATAAATCGTTATTTTTATATTTCTTCTAATAAAATATTATGTAATACTGACACTATTTCTTATGCATTTAAACTTTGAAAATATACATATAGTCGTAGAAATTAATTTTGAGAAAACAGTATATAAATTTAAAATATTTCCAACATTTAAATACTGTAGATAAAGTTTATATGTAAGAAAATTCGTTTGTATGCAACTTTCAGCTTTTTCGAATTCTTTAATATTTCGAATTAGCTTTTGAAAATCATTTTGAAAGTCGATTTTCTGATTCGCATATATTTATTCATTAAATTCATCATTATAATTTTTATTGTATCTAGTGGTAAATTACTGTTTACTTTAAATACTAAATAAAATAATAAAATAATCAAAATGCAACTTTGTTAATCAGAAGACGAATAAAATTATAAAGAAAAGTCTCTATATGTTCTAAAATAATCATTACATTTCCATATAATGAAATGGAAATTAATCAATTGGATTTAATCAATCATTATTCGAGAAATTTAATACTTACATAAGGTTTATAAAACTGAAAGAGACAGAAGATATTTGTGTCTAAATTAATTAAGAAATATTCCAATAAATACGTGAACCAAAATTTCAACAATTAAGTAGTAACGCAAAATTAAATATCTATCTTTGATGTTTGATGTTCTACGTTATTCAAAGCAGATTAATCGACAGATAAATAGCTTAACTATTTGTATTAAAAATATTAACGTAGACAAGGTATTTTAAGCAAATTATCATTTTTTATTAAAAAGAATTCACAAATACAGATAATAATGGAGTAAAAACGGAGTCTTTTTAGACCAATAAAGTAGTATAAACGCATGCTCTTGTATTTCGATTAATAAACTCTATTAATTTGTAAAAAATTTATAATCAAAGGGGCAGCACGCAAGTTTATAAAATATTTCGAAATTTATGTTCATCCCTCGGCTTGAAAAGTAAATATAAAATGTGAGAAAAAGTCGAGTGGGGATGGAGCGTTGAATGCAGACACAAAGGAGTCAATCACTCGTATAATCGGTCAGTTGTTTTAAAGACAATGAGCACTTCGATAGGTACACGTACCGTACCAATGTGTTACTAGGTCTCGCGAAGAGAAGCGCTTACGTATACGGAATGTGCGAGGGAGACAGAGGCGTACAGTGCCTAATAGATAGACAGGAGAAATAGGGAGATAGAGCAAGAGAAGTAGCTCATCGTGCAATCTGCAATTCCGCTATAACGCCGCGATGCTCCTCCTTGCGTAACGTTCTAATAGCGCAACATCTTAACGTTTCGGTCCAATTGCTGCCTCCCCTACCCCTCCAAATTCCCCCTACCTACACCCGTCATATTCGCCATATCTCCTCTCTAATTCCACGACCTCCTGCATTACATGTAAATCAGTTCTATTGACGAAATCCAAAGAAGCCTACATTCAGGAAGAAAATGTCATTTTTTTTTTGTTTTTTTTTTTGTTTTTTGTTTATTTGTTTGTTATAAATCACTGTAAAAATAACGACTTATGTGCAATAATAGAATAGAGTAATTATTTTTTTAGATCTTAGTATTTCAATAATGCTGCTCTGCAACAGCAGTTGTCGAAACAACACCAATACACTGTTGTAATTGTTCGGAAATTCTTTGCAATACTTTATTTGGGAAGAAAGCAATTTATGGTTGATGGAAGTTTTCGCGTTCCCTTGATAAGACGCAAATATTTCGAATTAATTAACAAAACATAATTTTTGATCGTGTAATCATATTAATGGTTTGTTTCTATTTATACTTAGTTTTATGTTATTATTATTTTTTTTTTCAAATTTTCTCTCGTTTATTCTTACATTTACAATATATATCTTATTAATTTGTATAAAATTATTATTATTTAATGCTTTTCTATTTCTTTGACTCTAAGCTTCATTATCTTATGCACTGAATTAAAAGTATCGAATAGGAAGAATATTGAACTGCATTATAATTGCGGCTCAACTGTTTTTATGTTGTTTAGGAAACATTTTTTTTGTATACGAAGTAATAACGATAAAGACTTCATTTAATAAGTGCTCGAAAAAATTATAATTTAGATAATATATATTTAGATAATAACATTTCTTATGTAACTGTAAAATTATAATTTATCTCATTATATTACTTTTAATGTTCAATTAGAGACGGCAATGCTGTTGTTTATCATGTGTATTTGTTTTTGAAGATCGAGTTCTCTGAAATTATGGATTAGCTAATTATATGGTTTTATCTTGATTAAATTAGATATCTAATTGTTAAAAAATTACAATAACTTTCTAATAGCATTAAAAAATATTCTATATGAATATACAGAATGCATGTAGAACAATATTAGGTTAATTTAAATATGTACAGATTTCAGTTAATGTGGCATTTTCATCATTAAACTAATAGACAAGATAAAATTAGTAGGAAAGGCATAAGTTTATAACTTCTAGCTAATTATTATTATTATTATTATTGTTGTTGTTGTTGTTGTTGTTGTTGTTATTATTTGTATTATTATTATTATTAGAAATATCATTAATTATAAACGAAACTTTTTTTCTTGATTTTTGATATGGTTCTAAACAGCGATATATTGTTTAAAACAATTGATTATTTAAGTTAAGACATTAAAGAGTTCGTACCAAATAAAGACTTGAATTGCATTATTTCGTAAAATGAAGTACAGATATTTTTTCAGGAATGACAGTAATTACATGGGATTTAAGTTTTGATAGTAATTATCGAGCCCCGAGTCATTCAGTTTTTCATTCTTGACTTTTAACTTTAAGTTACATTAGTAATTGCGCAACAAGATATGTAAATTGGAAAAATTCCAGATTACTTTTGAAACTTTGGAATACATTCCCTGTTAAAACTAAAATATTTTTATACGCACATTTAATACTCTTTAATTCTTAGTTATGCCAAATTAAAATGTCAAGGGGTGGGATGAAATTTTTTTTAAATACTTGGAAATCGTTGGAGAAA